CCCAGCCTCTCTTACGTAACCCTGAAGGAACTCACTTGTCATGAGTGCCCCCCCCCCCCCTTCCCCCATGAAGTAAAAAAAATATCCTGGCGCCGCTTGTGATTTTATCTCTTTGTGAAGGCTATCGCTAAACCAGAATCATACGTTTACAGCCCATTATAGTCTGTATGGTCGAAGTGTGGCAGCTTGGGCTAGTTGGTATGGCATGACGATAGTTATAGCGCGAGAACAAAACGACGACACAGACACAAGAAGGACACGAAAGACACGTCGAACCGCGGGTGTTCAACACTGGTCCTCAAATCCTCCTTCGCAGAGGCAACTGCGGCCATTCTTCTTCTTAGCGGGACACCAAAAAGGCACACTTGCGTAACCTTGAACGTCGGCGACAAAGCGGTCCCTGCGGAGTATTTTAGTGCTCGCGTGGAGAACGTCTGGGGAAGACTCGGGGTTAAAAATGTGCGCCTCCGGGAGTCGGAAATAACGCGCCCGTTGTCGTCTGCACCCCTCCTTCCTCGTGCGAACCCCCGAGCGACTTGGGATGTCGTCGAGGAAACGAGGCCTTTCTTACTTGCTTTTTTTTTTCCTTCACAACTTACGAATAGGAACCTTCTTGCTGTGCAGTAGATATTGTCACGGGGTCGTGACGTGGTCGAAGACAGGAGACTTCTTGTTGGGATTTAACTGTTTATTTGGGCGAACCTGTGCCCGGTAAACAGAAAGTCCAATTACAGCAGCAGTCTCGCACAGATAGCAGTCTCAGACTGTTAGCGGCGAACGGAGCGTCGGCCTTCGATCAACAACTGACAAGCGGCGAAGCGCGTCGGCATTTGTACTCCCGCCGTCGAATGTTCTAGCGCTATCGCTGGCGGCGGCGTAGGTTCCAGAACAATCTGTACCGTTCGCACAGTGGGCGTGATCTTATCGAAATGATCTACTACAGTCCGGAACCTTCTCGAAAACTGCAGGCGCGGTTTGCGCTGAGAAACGTGTGGTGTTTTGGGACGATAACAAAAACTTGGGAAATGGAACGTGGCAATATTATGAGATGCATTATAAATAACACCTTCTGTTAAAGGGAGACCATCGCGAAACAACGAGTTCATATTGATTGATAAATTGTACTTTGCTAACTCTTACTTTGTTAATTTCATCACCATAGGTTTGATACTATAATAAAAAATCACGGACAGAGTTTTATTTCTAAATTTCGCGCTGATATCTGCGCACGTGACGTCACGGATTTCACAACGTATTTTTTGTTTCTTGGTGGAGTTCTGTATAACTTCAGGAAACTTTGTAAAGTCTGTAGCCCCTTCAAAGGACAATGCGCGGCGCCTCATTTTGATTGACTGGGAACGGCGTATGTAGACGCCGTCGAAATCTATGACGTCACGACGTTTGTTGCGGGAAACCGAAGGTGGCGGCGCTACCCGCGTTTTCTTTTCGTGCGTTATTTCGCGGTAAGAGTGACGTTTTCGGTGTCGTGAAACTGTAATTGTAATAATACACTAAATATCGTTCTTCTCGTCATTACCATACACACTTGCGATTCGCACCTGTCGCGTGACCATTTGCGACCGGTGAACCAAAAAAAAGCGACTCAAAGCGATTCATGTTGTAACTTGGTCGCGCGATCCTTACGCGTGAATGAACCAACCAGAGGTCGAAATTCAATTGTACTGTTGCTGTTGTGGTGGTCGTGGTTAGAAGAGGAAAAAAAATGCCGCCATATCCACGAAGTGAATGATGATGAGTGGGCGAAGCTCCGGAGGTAAACCTGGTAAACCATGAATCCTCCGTACATTTTGCCCACTCGATTTTATTGCAACGCTCCCCCTAGCGTACGTCGCCGCACTATATCGAACGATGACACGCGCCATATGTGGCATCATTCCTATTTTATAACACCTCGCATCTTTCATAATCAACTACACGTACCGCCGTTTAGTTTATAACATCTTGCATCTTTTGGACGAACGGACGGACGGACGGATGGATGGACGGACGGACGGATGGATGGACGGATGGATGGATGGATGGATGGACGGACGGACGGACGGACGGACGGACGGACGGACGGATGGATGGATGGATGGATGGATGGATGGATGGATGGATGGATGGATGGATGGACGGATGGACGGATGGATATGGCTGTACCCTTTAGATCGGGCGGTGGCTAGCGTAATACTTAGAACTGAACGAGAGGTGGCTACATACAGGGGACGCACAGCCCACGCCTTAAGGAGCTTCGCTCCTAAAAAGGCCCCTAATTTCTGCATCCCGGTAGTGAGCACGACGCAGTGCCCTCTGTTGTGCGCGAATCTACAACGAACACGTAGCCGCGTTTGATGGCCCGAAAGAGGCCCTCGCTCGTCTCTCTCCTCGCTATGCTACGCGTCTTTCCTCTTGGCCGAGTGCTCTTCCTCACCTTGCAAGGCGTTCTGGACTTCATGAGCGCGTTTACTTGAAATGTTTGAAAGATTACCGGAGGTGGTCTGTGGGCTCTTGCATCGTGTGCATAGGCGTGCGCGTGATTCTCCGTAGGGAAGGCGAATGGTCGAATCTTCACCGCTACACGCCTTGGTGGTCTTGCGGCTTTGGTGCTCGAGTATACCGACCCGCGCGGGATCGAATCCCGGCCGCATTTTCGATGGAGGCGATAGCTATCAGCCCAGTGTACTTACATTTGAGTGCACGTTAAAGGACCCTATAGGTGGTCTTTGTGCAAACAGTTCCGAGTCTTACGCGATGTCTCGGAATTAAGTGCATATGGCAGCCGTCGCCAAGTAAACAGTGACAACAACTCTTTCGTTTATTTGCTATTTCAATAATAATAATAATAATAATAATAATAATAATAATAATAATAATAATAATAATAATAATAATAAAAAGCCTATGTGGTCGAAATTTCCGAAGCCCTCTCTCTATGGCGTCTCTTATAATCATATCGTGCTATTGGGATGGTACATCCCAGCAATTATTAAAGACGATAGTCTTTCTTGGAAACCTTCGACGCAAAAATTTTGGTCTGTCTGTATATTTGTCTGTTTGTCCACCCTTAACGGTACCGGGTACTTTGAACAGCACCAGCCGATACTCCAAACGGCCGACCCCATCCGCAGCGCCCACCAATGTTGTTCAAGGTTCAGCGTTCATGCTTGTGCGATTGTCGATTAAAAAGCAATTATCGCGCATATCTGAGGCACCATAACAACACGTATATATTGCATGTGCATATTTTACTAGAAAATACATACATACGTTATTCTAAGGACCGTAGTGTTTATCACGCTGTGCTGACCATGCAACGCTTGCACGAAAAGGCGAGTGTTTCCATGGCTTTGCTAAGACGACATGGTGGTGGAACCTATACCCGTCGCCTTGCGTTCTACACTTGCGTGCGCGCTCTGAGCACGCCCGTCTTAGAACCACGGGTTTCGTTTTCCAAGAAAACTGCCAGGTGGCGCTCATGTCTCACGTGTGACGTAACTTGATGCGGTCGTTCGCCTCCGCTACACGCTTGTGGCTCTCTAACACAGCGCCTTCAGAATACCATTCACCGATTTTCTTGTGTAGAACATCAAATAAATGTTTTGTTCACTCTCTCCACACGCAGGACTATCATCTTTCGACGACATTTGCAGTGTAACTTGCAGATACGGGGCCAATTTTTATTATCGGAAGTTCCACCAGAGGGATCCTCCTCCCCCCGTCTCCCGTGCGCATGGCTGTGATCGATAACTTATAACCGAATGCACCTACCGTGTTTATGCGTGTACTAGCCAGTATTGCGCTGTGGTGAACCTTTTGTTCTCCCTATAATGAACCGTTATATTTTTTTTGTCGTAGCCAGCATATGATCATTTACGTGCATATGCTGCAAGGTAAGCGCAGTGTGGAAGTATAAATCGCCCAATTCACACCGTAATTAAGGTGGCGCAAGAGGGAGTTTTAGAATAACGTTTGCAGGCGCTGTGGGCGTTGCGGGCACCATATGAGTTGTGCCCCTCCTAGGGAACAATCTAGGAACTTTAGCTGCCCCGTAAACTCAAATGCTCGAAAACTACACATAAGGGAGTTTTAGAATACCGTTTGCAAGCGCTGCGGGCGTAGCGGGCGCCATATGAGTTTTAGAATAGCGTTTACCCTGCTGCGATCCGCAACGCACGATCGCAGCGACACCGTGGCCTCGAAACCAGCGCTTGCGGGCCACGTGTGGGCCGCCATCACGGCCAGTGCCTCCTTTATAACTTTCATACAGGAGGCACTGTCACAGCACGCAATTTCAGTTTTTTTTTTTAAGTGCGGTCCGCGAACGCCGACTCGCGTTACGACGCATGCGCAGTGGCAGCGCCCGCACCGCAAGGGCTCGCGGTACGCTACTCTAAAACTCCCTAATATACTAACTTCACGGTGCAATGCGGTGCAGAAAAAGCGAAAATTCCCGGCTCACATCCGTCCTTCTTTGTGGTTGTGGTGGTGGTTAGAAGATGAGAAAAGGCACTTGATTTCTGCAGCCCGGTCGGGAGCACGGCGCAGTGCCTGCGGGGAAGGGAAAAGGGAGAAAAGTGGAAAGTATGCATCCATCGACACTTTGAAGGCACTGCGCCGTGCTCCCGACCGGGTTGCAGAAATCAGGTGCCTTTTCTCATCTTCTAACCACTACCACCACCACTTTGTATGCATCCATCGACACTTATGTTGTACGTGTTTACAGACGTCAGAAAGTGAAAGCGCGCCACGTGGTCGTTCCAACTTCGCCAATGGAAAGGGGGTTCCACAAAAGAAAGACGCTGCGCAGTTGACTCGGTTCTGTTTGTTTTCTCTTGCTTTTTCATTCGTCTCGCGCCTGCGTTGGTTGACGGGAAGTGTCAAGCCGCGGGGGGCGGAAGCGAGCGCTTCCGGCGGACGTTGGCGCTTTTCGTTTCCGCGTGCGCGTATTGCTGTCTCTTGCGTCGCGCGCGCAGTTTTCGTTTTAATTCGCCACTCGGGGAGATCCAGTTCTTCGCGACACTTTTCTCTGGTCTTTTTTTTTTTTTTTCAACGACGTGACTTTGCATCTTAGCCGTCGACCGCAACGCTAGCCCTTCGCCGTCGAGAGGTGTCCGTGCCGACGGACATGCTGCGTCGGTGGCCCTCGGTGCGATCCGTTTACGGTTCCACCCTGAGCCTGTTCGAGGACTCGTCCAAGTACCGCGTGAGTTTGAGCGACGTCGCGGGTTCGCTTCCGAGATGGCGCGTGAGCATGTCCCTCTCAAGACGTCTCCAGGTTTGTCTGTCTCGGGCGTCCTTGTAAGGGTAGATCTGTGCAGTGCCTTCTCGCGTATGCATGCTCTGGTGACCGTGCGTTGTGCTTTCACTAAGCGTTGTGGTTGGTCTGCGTCGACAATCTTGAGGGAATGTGGGAGGTAAACGTGATAGTCCATATGGTTTGTGTCCCAAAACACGATTCATATTATTGCTGAACTGATGTGTTTAAAGCGGTGCCAACTTTTGTGTGAGCTGAAGTTTTCGGGGCAGGAATTTGTACAGTAGTAGCTTTCTGGGCCTGAAATAGAGGGGTAGGGGGGGAATGTTTGAATGTTTGCTCTGAAAAATGAGTCCCAACCAACAATTTTTAGACTTACTTTGCTCAGTGGAAGCCCCGAAAGGGGTGGGGGGGGGGGGGGCATATTTACCCAGCTCATGTGGGTTGAATGTGTGTGAGTGTTGTGTCACGTCCGCCCTTGCAATTATAAAGAACGCTACCCATAATCGCACCAGTTATGCTGGGAAATGTTGAAGGTGTGTGCCTTCTTAGGCTACGAAACGTGAGTGTAGCCTTCGAGGTCTAGAAAGCGGCATTTTATAAAGCGTGATTGGATGGGGGCAGCATCTCCAGAGCGATTTACAAGGCGAGGCACATGACATTGACAGGATAATCACAGACGGAGGTCATGACTGCTTATTGAATTTGCATATTGTTGAGAGCATTTCTTTGGATACTGAGTTGCTTTTAGCTACTCGCAAATATAGCAATGGCACTAGTCTAATTACAGTAAGGAGAGTTGCTTTTTGGGCAAGTCGGTACATACCTAGTTAACTACAAAATCCACATAACATCGAAATGGGACAAAGCAGAGCAGCAGAAAACAGAGACACAGAGCAGAGACGTGGCAATAACTATGTGCCATGTCTCTGCTAACCACATGCCACATGTCTGCTCTCTACCTCTTTTTTTTTTTTTTGCTGCTCAGCCTTTTCCGATTTTGACGTTTTGTGGCTTTTGTAGTTTACCAAATACAGCCATATACACAAAACAAAAAACAAACAAAATAAAGCGCGAGGCTAGTGGGTAGACTTTATAAACTAAGAAAAGGGCAATAAACATTGCTGAAACGACCTGTTTCTGTTAGTAGTATGGTCGCTACTGTCTTTCGTGCTAATGTCATAAAAAGCAAAATGTCAGCGTGTCTCACTCGCCCTTCTTTTTCTCATGTGCAGATGAGCGATGGGCGGCGAAGTCAAGTGGTTCTCCTGGATGAGCGTCGCCTCGACATTCTTATTCAGGTAAAAGCAAAGCCTTGTTCGCTTTTTTTTCCCGCAATGCTTCACTCCTATTTTTTTTTTTCATTTTGAATATATTTGTGAATTTGTATGCAGAAACTCGGCACCGGTTTCATGCCTATTCTTGTCCAGTCCTTTAAAACTTATGCGTGGCACTGTGGAAGTGTATGAAAGGAAGCTTTTCATGTACTCCATTGCACGTGATACTACTCTGTGCATACACATCTCAACATCTTTCCCTCAGCTAGCATCAGAGGTCGCCTTTGTCCTTCTGATGAGGACAGCTAAGAGCTTCAAATAGTGATGCTGCTACTGCTGCTTAACCTGCCGACTCATTTAAAAGCTTATCTTGTGTCTGACAAAAATGTTTTTTTTTTTTTCAATTGGGAATGTCCTTGCTGATGTGTTACTCTGGATAAGGCTGAATTATATCTGTGGACAGAATGCAAGTTCATACTTTTGTTTTGTTTAGCTGTTTCTAGAATACTAATATGCCTTTTTATTAACTGACTCGTGACTGTGACGTGGGCTATCAAATGAGAAAAGAGCCATCACTGCAATTGACTGTCAGGCTAATAGTTTTGGGGAAAAGGTAAATGAGACATAAATGAAACTGTCAAAATTATTCAGAACTACATTACTTTTGCTTGCTTTCTTATTTCTTTTGGTAATAAGGCTGTATGTATAAGTCACTTGAGAAAAAAAATGAAGTATAGATAATTTCTGAAACAAAAGAGAAAATTGATTGTTCCGCCCTTTATTGTTCCAATATTTTCTGGGACCAGCTGACTGAGAATGAATGTTCTTATTTGCGCAGTGATCATCCCTGCTAAATTTTCTTTATATTCATGCTTGAGAATTCAGAATTGTGCTTCAGTTTTAGTAATACTGTGTCAATCATAATCAATATAGTTCATAAATCTTACAGTGGCTATTTTTGCTTATATTTTTACCATGCCATTTAATTTCCTCTGCTAGCCTACAAACTATAAGAGCTTGCAGATGCCCCTTAATGGTTGATTGCATCTATGCACTGTTAACCCTCCACTGCCGTAAGACGCTTATTTTTGGTCCATTATTGAAGGACATCATTGTCGATTTCAGGTTCATGTTGATAGTTGTTTTCAGCTACATCATGGGGGCTTCCTGTCACGATGATGTAGATGCCAGGGCTTAACTGTGCCTTTAACATGCTCCATCTTTCTTAACATTTCTCGGAAGAACGTTAATTTTCTTTTCAGAGGTGTAGCAATGTCTCGGGACCTGGCAGATAAAAAAAAAAAATCTTACTATCTGTTTGCAGCCAAGGCTGTACGCCTGCGACCTCCTCGACATGGTGGCCTCCCACTTCAACCTCAAGGAGAAAGAGTACTTTGGCCTGGCATTTCTCGATGAAACGTTAGTACTTTGTGCAAGTTGTCCGATACACAGACGTCATATATGCGAGATGTATTAAAACCGTTGTTTATTTACTTATTGCCTGCATAGAACCACGTATGGCACTTATAAGCTCTATTCAATACAACTCAAATCTGCACCATCTCAAGCATAAACTAGAATTTGCAGTTATGATTCTAGTCTGTTTTTTTTTTTTGTTTTAACAGTGCAGTACGTTTCTTACATAACAGCAAACTGCAAACTGTCGCCACTGGGCTGCTTCGTTTAATATTTTTCTCTGCTAGTAAAATTTAGGGGCAGGGGGGGAGTGATAAATTTATTTTTTACTCGTTATGGTAATTGAAATCAGGAAGATGAGGTGCTAATGAATAAGTGTTCTTTACCATCGAATCAGTCTTAGTTGAAGGTGGTCATGTTATGCTGTGGCCTTCACAAAGCTTCTGTGAGACAGTTGATTAACAAAAGGCACACTCACATACACACACTATGCATTCTTATTATGCCAATTTATAGCACTGTCAAAGTACAGTGGCCTTTGCCTATCGGCAGAAAGTAGCATTAGACATTCACGTGTAATCAGTGTGCTCCTAAAGCTCGCATTGCACGTTTTGTCATTTGTGATGAACCGCTTCTGTTTCAGGGGCCACTATCATTGGCTGCAGCTCGACAAGCGGGTTCTTGAGCATGACCTGCCCAAGAAGTCGTCTCAAGGTTCCTTGGTGCTCTACTTTCTGGTCAAGTAAGAGGTTTTCTGCAGCTTTGCTGTGGTATCTAGTGCTGACCTGCATAAGTTTCGACTGCCTTCAGATGTCGTGCTGTGTATGAACTTTCGAAGCCAATTTCATGCATCATGCGGTGTCTGTGTTTCTAAATTTGTGACTGACATGTTGTCGCACACATGTCGAACATGTAAATTTAGGGCTGATGTGACTACATCATTCATATGGGTTGCGACATTGACTATACTATATTAGTATATATATCGTTTCAGCTACCAGTAAGTATTTCATTTCAGCTACTGTTGAACCAACGAAAGGAACTCAGTTGTGCTTGCAGCACTTCATTTCAGCAGGAACTGCTATAGTGTATTTGCTGCTTCTGTGTAATAGTGAATGAAAAAATCGCTCAGTTGTTGTACAGCAGTGCACAGTAATTTGAAGATCATTGAAGATTAGAATAAAAGAATGCTCATCACTTTGAGCTGCTTTTTGCAGCTGCCAGTCATTTACACCTATAAATTTGGAATGGCACTTTTTTTTCCTTGTAGTTGTAAACTTTCAAAATGGTGCTACAAAAAATAATGGCCTTTTGTTCAAAGTTATGTTAAATTCTTTCCTGGCCAAGGCATTGGTTCAATGTGATTTGAGAGCTTTGTGTGCAGTCACACTATAAAGAAGTACCGCTGCTCATTTAGTTGTCACACACCGACAGGTATTGTGCTGTTTCATGATGTCTGGGTGGTGTAACTCCGCAAAGAAAGTTCAATTTGCTCTTAGCCATACCGATAGGTTTTGCCAGCTTCAACTGGCAGAAAAACTGGGGCTAACATTAAGTTTTCATCTTTTAGGTACTATGTGGAAAGCATTTCTTTGTTGAAAGATAGCGCCACTGTGGAAGCATTTTACCTTCAGTGCAAATCGCTCATTGCCAAGGCAAGTTCGACAAAACTGTCTCTTTCTCCTCGGTGGCTTTGTGCAGCTGCTAAGTTGTCTTTCCTAATCAGGGTGCATTGGAAGTGGACTCTGAAACGGTGTTTCAGCTTGCTGCTCTAGTCCTTCAAGCAACATACGGAAACTATGTTGAGTAAGTGGTGCCCTCTTATTGTATTGCTTTAACTTTAATATGTAAGTCTGACATCTTTCTTTTCTCTCTTTTTGTCTTTTTTTTTGTCTAAAAGTCGGCTTACATCCAGTTTTCAGGGATTCTAGAATGAAACTTATGATCTGAACTTGGTTACAAACCACGTCGCTTGCCATGAGGCTTGAGCATGCACCGCTGAGATTGAGACGACAGACCCAGCTAGGCCATGGTGGCCACATTTTGATAGAGGCATAATGCCAGAGGCCTGTGTGTTTAGATTTGGGCATTTGTTGAGAAACCCCAGGTGGTCACAAGTTTTGAAGCCCTCAATGACAGTGTTTCTTATAATGGTGTCGTGGTTCTGGGATTTGAAACCCCGTATAATCGTTGAGATAACGGGTTCAATTTTAGACGGCCACAGCAGGTGTATGCAATGGGGGCAAGCAGAATGTGCTTGCTTGTGTATACCTAAATTAGATATATGTTCTTATTAAAGATTAGTACTCCCTCGCTAAGACATGCCTTGCGATCAGATTGTGGTTTTGGCACGTAAAACCCAAAGAAGCTCGTATTGTAATCTTCTGAATGTTGATTTTACAGTGATCAAACAACAAAAACTCACCTCAAGAAGCTTCCTGTTCTTCCTACCAGCACACTCAAAGCACATCCGTCCATCTCCTACTGGTAAGACCTCAACCGTAAACTTTTCTTTCTGTGTGCTACGAAGTAAATGTGCCCATAAATGGCATATCGTTTTTGTAGAAACTGTACATTGTGCAGTGGTGTGGCACTGTTTCATGTTCTTTTCGTTTGTTTGTTTTCGCAGTGAAGGCAAAGTCATTGAACATTACCAGGAACTGGCAGGACGCTCAAGAGGTTCAGCCATTATTGCGTGAGTTGACTTTTTAGCGATGTGCCTTACAATGCATTTATATGGGAAGCAAGGGCACATATATGTTCTGAAAAGGGACTTTTGTTGACCTAAAAGATTGCATGCTTAGCTATTTACTAATACACATGCGCTTTAAATGCTAATGCAATGAAATTTATACCGTCTTATTCGCCTCGGTTCAAAGAGTGCTAATAGAAAGCAGTCCTTTTGCAAAATTTTATGCTTGAAATACAAGTACATGTGTCCTCATAACTTGTAAATATGGCCATTCTCTGTTTTAAAACTCGGAAAAATGCTGCCACTACTGCTGACTGGAAATTACTAGGATCCTTGATGCACTGTATTATAATGGTTCGAGAATGGTTTGCTTTCCCTTTTGTGATTGGTCCGAATTCCTCTTTTGGTGATGCAACCATGATACTGGTCTGTTGCACCAGGGTGAGCTGATTGGTTCACTATTCATGGTTGCAAGATGACACCCTCAGATGTTATGAGCAGGCGTGATGCCTGTACACGACTTCAGAAGCCAGTGCACGGCCGCTGAAATCTTCGGAGCTGCGACAGACAGTGCGGAGATCTCGGAGGTTTTGTTCTGCTGTCGTAACAACTGCCCATGCAGTTTTTTCAGGGTTATATTACCAGTTTAACAAAGTGATATTTCACTGTACTTGGCTGCACAGTTTGCTTATAAGCTACAAAAGTTAAGTTGTGCTATAAAATACGTTCAACATAGGTCTGTTTTCTATGCTTCATGGCATGCTCACTCATTTTGAGTTGCTTTTCAGATACATGAACCTCGTAGAAAACCTGCCAACATATGGCATTCATTTTTACGAAGTCAAAGTGAGTTATGCAACTTTCAGTCCTTCTTTGACAACTGTTTGCTTGTGGAAGTGACTACACAAAGTTAAATCTGCTTCACCTTTGCGTGGTCTCTTTAGGACAAGGGAGGCATTCCCTGGTGGGTTGGACTCAGCTATAAAGGAGTCAGCCAGTATGACTATAACGACAAGAAAACGCCGCGACGGGTATGTTACAGTATAATTTTGGATTGCTCGTGTTCATGTTTGTAGTAGCTTCTTGGAACAGTCTGCTTTTTTTTTTTCTGATTTTCTCACTGGGTTTCTAGGAAAATCTACTTTTGTTGTTACTTTTTTCAAACAGTTCTTCCAGTGGAAACTACTGGAGAACCTGTATTTTCGTGACAAGAAATTCTCCATAGAAGTTCACAACCCAAGAAGGTAGGTAGGCTTTTTATTTTTGTTCAGAGATTACTGTAGTGTGGAAAAACTTCTTAGAAACAACATTCGTCATTTATTTAGCTTATTGCATATCCCTAATGTACTCTTAGAATCTACGTGGGCTAATTGTGGCGAAAATGCACTTTCAATTTGGCATTCCCAGTTTATGCTTCGAATCAAGCAGCCTCCTGTTGCTTTTTCACTTTTCTTTTAGGGGCCAAGTTGAACTATTGTATGTTGGCTGGGTTGCGCTGAAAAGATGGTCCTAACTTTTGTCCTAACTGCGTGCATGCAAATGTGTAGGTTGTGCGGAGTTAAACAAGCGCAGCCTACGTAACAGACACAGAAAGATGGACTCGCACAACATGTGACATTGTTTTTCGATTGAGACAGCACCGTCTTCCTGTGTACACTGTGTCCCACACTGTGCTTGTTTGACCACGAAATACGAGCTCACCCGAGCTTCTACCCTTGTTAGCTTTGCGCGAGGTCCTTTCGAGTGGGCTGGCAAAGCTCCGTAAGTTGGCTGAACCCTCCCCCCATATTTTGACCCCTTCTATTTTCCTTGTAGAGTGGTCCATGCCCTGAGCAGTTTCAATGTGTACGAGGATGTGATAGAGGCACCCCCTGAAGGGTTTGATCCCCTGGCTGATGCCATTAGCGATTCCACAACCCAGTAAGTGCTCTCGTCCCTCTGTTGCCACACTTTGATTTCCCTAACTTCCCCTTTTGTGGCAGAAGGTGGGTGAAAAGATTCCTCTTTTCGTTGGGCAATACCGTATTAACCCTTCTCGTTTGTGGGTGTTTAGAGGCTCCTGTATGCTGCATAATTAGCGCTCATTAAACATCAGCTGCCCTAACTTCCCTTTTCAACCCCTTTGTTCAGAGAATATTAGAGGGATTTTTTTTTATTGTAGTGGTTAGCAGCATCGTTTGAGTGCTGAGCTTTTCAGGAATGTCTTGTTTGCCACTTCCAAATCCTTTTGTTCCTTCCTTTCTTTGAATGCGAACTTTATACATTGAAAACACAAAATAACGAAATGAACGACCTGTATTGTTTACCTCTGAATATATATATTTTTTCCGTATTCTTATTACTTGCCAATTTTTAGGCTTTAGTGTAACTGTCTAAGCAGTTTGCTGGTTTGTGGAGCATAATTTTGTATTTCAGTGGCGAGTTCAGAGCTTGAAAGCTTGCTGTTTCTGCAGAACTACAATTTCATTGTTCGAGAATGTAGCCTCTATTCCAGTGACAAACCATGTTATCAAATGTTTTAACGCAGTATTTAGGATTTGGATGACCTCCAATAAAATATTGCTAATGGCCAGTTATGTTAAGTTATTATACTTTGTAGTGTGGTCAGGTTCCACACCTAGTACAAGACAGTGAGGAATATGTAATTGAATGAATAAGCAGTCAATTTCTTCGTGGCTAAGTGCACTTCACGTGTGTGCCAATGCGCATCCTCGTCACATTATAGCATATTAGCACATTAGTAAGGAAAAAAAAATGGAAAACTTTCTTTTTAACCTTAGAAACCTATAACTGAACGTTTACTTGCCTACAAATTTTGTTCACTTATAACACTTTCTCTCTGTTCTTAGTAATGTGATAATTTTCAGTTCTACTTTGAGATTAGGTAGGCTGTTGCTTTGTGAAAAATTCAACAGTGTCATCATAGGGCAGCATGAGCAGAAAATTTGCAGAATTTCATTGTGCTGATTGGGTGGTGCAATACCAACAGAATGAAGAAAGAATGTACACGGACAAGTGCTTGTCCTTGTATGTTCTTTCTTCATCTTCATTAGAGTTTCGCTAACTATCTGTCAAAGTGGAACCTTATTAACTTGTCCAAATATATATGCTTTTACAGAATTTTGCTTTACAAAGATTGTTTGACCAATGTCCACTGCATTTTTTTTTTGGTGTAACTATGGATTGGATGTGTTTTTTCTCCCGATTCCATGAATGAGACATCCCGTAAACTTTGCCATCTTCTAACGAATGTAAGCTACCTTACTGAGCTCTGTGTCCAGCTCAAAACGCCTCTAAAAATGACACTCATTAGTAGCATGTCTAAGTGAACAAATGTTTCACATTTTCATTACACGCAATGTTAGTGTCTTCTACTTTATTATTATTTTTTCCTCTTGTCTTCAGAGTGTCGGTAAGCAGGAGAACTTTCGGGCCTGGCAATGTGACGGTGGTTGTCTGGTTTGCGGCCACACCGGCCCTGACCAAGAGCATTTGGTCAATGGCCATTGCCCAGCACCAGTTCTACTTGGACAACAATGTTGGCAAGGTGAGATGATGCGTGCATTTCCCAGCAAAGGCTAAATAGCCTGGCTGCATGACACGTGACCTGCAGCATGTGTCATTGCGATTAGTTTTGCAGCATTGATCCGATTGTATCCATTTTTCTGAGCCTACGGTTTTGCTTAATCTACAGCTTACAGTTGCTTGCTTCCATGCAGAGGTGCTAGAGCTCTGTTATCATTGCAGCATTGTGCTTATGTCTTGTAAATGTAAGCCCGTTATTGTATATGGATCTATTCATTTGTAGAGGAAGATTGAAGATGTAAGCTGCCTGGAAAAGTTTGCTGCAGAGTTGTCTAAGAGTTCCCAGTCGCTGTCATCAACCAGCACAGGATCTAACCTGAGCAGAAGCGCAAGTTGCCATAGTCTTCCTGCCATCAAAATCGAAGGTATGTACTTCTAACTCCTGCAGGGCATACTTCATTAGGTGCCTTTAACATTGACAGTGTCGCACAAGAGATTCCAGACTGTGAAATATGGTCTACTGTCAATAGCTGCATGGTTGGCCCTGTCTCATTTTTTTACACTTTGCAATAGCACTTGCTTAGTTAACATATACCCTCAAAAGGAAATTTTTCAGGGAAAGAGTATTGTAAAATATATTTACGATCTACTTTAGCACAATTTAGTAGAATGTGTCATCGTGACTGTTCATCGCATTGGCCGAACAAGCATCTCATTGGTTTTGCGTCATTAACTAGGCCGAGAAAAGTAGCGTACGAAAATAGCTCTTAGACCGGTGCTTGTCCAGTCTTCTTTCTTCGTGTCTTGTCTGTCTGTGCACTACCCAACGATGGATAAGTTCTAACTATCCTCCTTTCAGTCCTACTACAAGGAATGGAAAGATCGAGTGAGTTGGTTTTTCGTAGCGTATAGCACAGCACGCAAACGTAGGAAGAAGGGGACTGAGCAGTCAACAGCGCTAATCTTTTTATACTTTGTTCTTTTTGTTTCTTGATTTGCATGTTGTGCTATAATGAATTGTCATGCATAAAGTGCTACCATGGCATCTGGTTTTCAAATTTATTGTGCCAACGGTGAATGTGTGCTTTTGGGACCTGCTATCCTCATTACTATTTCCTCTTGGGTGCTGCATTAGAGTAAGTCTTTGCTATGAATACATATACTGCTTACAGACATAAATAAACAGCTTTGTGGTGAGTTTATAGAATACTTTGTTGGATGTGTTGGTTCATTCTGGAATAGATTTGAGTGCAAAAGGACGAGTGAAAAGAAGAGAAATGCTCGTTCAGTCATCTTGCATCTTGTCCTTTTGTGCTCAAATCTATTTCTTTCATGGTGACAGTTGCTCATCATAATAGCTAGTGGCTAAAAATGCACTGCTGCTGAGCTCTTTGGTGCTGGCTTGAATTATGTTCACAGTGGCCACATTTCGGCAGCATCAATATGCAAGAACATCTGTGTACTTATATTAGGGTGCACGTTGAAGGAGCCTGAAGCTGCCATTAGTGATCCAGAGCCAACACCATGGCATCCTTCATAATCATTGTTTCTGGTGAATTGCATAACTCCTGAAAACAAAAATTTTATTTTCATTGACTGTGATGCTTCGTAGCTGTAGTGACCATTGTGAGTGGTGCTGAGAAAATTTTTCAAGAAAATTTAGGTATTAAGGCTTCTTAATCACCTACAGTAGTCGTGGAAGGCAGCTGAATCTGTGAGCTGATGGGGACCTTGAAAATCTAAATGACCATTAGCACTGACCTTTTTTCAAGGAAAGTGGTTAGTTGTGATAGCTTTACGTTCATCTGCTGGCGCAGACGAGACAGACCAGCCACAGGTGAACGAAGAGGCCGAGCGGGCAAAGCAGGAAATGCTGACGGCACTTAAGGCTCGCAAGGAGGCCCTCGAGGAGGCGCTGCGGAAGAAGATTGAGGAGCTGAAGTCTGTATGCCTCAAGGAAGGCGAGGTGACGGGGGAGCTGCCTCCGGAGATGCCCCTAGCACCCGGGGAGCCCCCTCCTCAAGTGCGTCGGCGTATCGGCACGGCCTTCATCCTCGATGACCAGCTATTATCCAGTGCAAAGAGCAAGGTGGGTGTCACATTGCAAGCTTAGGTTTATTTGATAGCTAGTGAGGTATCAATGCTATGCTGTTAAAAATCTCACTTCACAGAAATTCCCGTGTGATTGCCGATGCTCTTGGTTGTCAGTGAAAAAATCGAGATAGATGCTTGTAAATAAATAAGAATCATCTACAGTTCAAGTGGGGATACAAACTCGGGAACTTCTGCCTAGTAGGTAAGTGCCTTGCCTCAGAGCCACAGTAGTGCTTGAAGCTGTGTTGAGAAAAAAAAAAAAAAAACATACAGGCATCAAGTAGTGCAAGCAGTCTTGCTAACAAATGTACTTATTGTGTGGCAGAAGCATAGAATGGCATAAGGTGTTACCCCATGTGGATTGCACAATGAGAGTGATTTTAAGGCCCACCTATTACAAAATGCCGAGGCATAATTTGTTATCATCATCAACAATGTTGTGTTCAGCTGTTCGTGTTGCTTTATGGACGTGTAGTGGGTCCATAGTATGATTCCATAGTATAATTATGGCGTAGTGAGCATTTCATGACTGCACTTCAAACAACCAATGTTGTGCACACAGTTACGTTTGTCTTGGTGAGGTTGACGTGAGGTGTCTACTGAGAAGCGAACCCTGGCAAGCGAATGAGACAACTACATGAATGGAGCCTTGCCATGCTATCACATTCTACTTCTTAAAAGAGTACTGACACGAATTCTGAATATTTCTTCTGTTTTTGCTCTAAGCATAAACACTGGAGAGGAGAGCCCTAAAAAGAGTGCCCCTGTGTTTCAGTGTGCATTAAATATAATATATTTTTAATATTGCCAACTTGAAAAAGAAATTTTGGTTTTCGTATCGAGGGGGTGGCTTCGCAGTGACGTGTCAACACAAATCTGTCATGGGAAGACTGCAACTCTCGATATACTAGCAGCAGCTGTTAGCTTGCTATCAGTCGCACTTGGTTCACTTAAAGGGACACTAAAGGCAACTATTAAGTCAACTTTGATTGTTGTAATAGCGGTTCAGAAACCTCGCATTGTTACTTATGTGCCAAGGAAGGGCCTATTTTGAAGTAAAATCACGTTTTAGTGGTCCGCGTTGAGTTAGTGCACTTCAAACTACCCGCCTCAAGAAGCAGACTGACAGGACCGACTCGCGTCACTGTTGCCGTACACAACGTTGCCCGGCTTTACTGCGCTAGTAGAAGGAGATTGAAAGCAGCGGGAGCCACTGCAGCAACAACGGCCATTGATCAATTTCCTCCATTGGCTTCGAGATCGCAGACGTTTTTTGGTTCAACTGCACCCCTATAGATGGTACGACCTGTCCCGTGTAACCACGCGAAAATTGAATTTTTGAACCACTTGCGCCATTCCTCATAGTAACGTTCGGCAGTTCTTTTTCCATGAATTAAACAGAAACGAACAAGCAGCATTTTATTGCATCCCTTGATGTATGAAAGGCTCTTTATTTAGTGCAGCTAGATCAATTACTAGTGATTATTTGTAGATTGTCTGTCTGATGTAATCGGTGTCATTTTTAAAATGTCCTACTGCGGCGCATGTGTTCTCGTGGATTCTCTGTAATTTCTCGGTACAGATTTGGGTGCAGGTTAAAGAACCCCAGGTGGTCTAAATTTCCGGAGCCCTCCACTACGGCGTCTCTCATAATCATATAGTGGTTTTGGGACGTTAAACCCCACATATCAATCAATCAATCAATCAATCAATCAATCAATCAATGTAATTTCTCGGTAAGTAGGGCATTGTTGTTGATAGTATTGTCATTTTAGATATTGTCATACATTGAGCTTCCACTCTGATATAAATTGTAAGTATTTGACTTTAGTGCCCCTTTAAACAATGACGAGAGAAGTGTCGTTCAATGAGCCCAACAGTGATTTCTGTGACTTAGGCTGCACGCAGGATGCTGACTTCACAAACCCAGTGAACTATGTTGACTTGTAGTAGTCTATTGCGGTGGGACTAGCTTGCAGATGCTGGGTTATGAAAACTTTAAACCTTAAAGTAAAATATTTCACACGTTATTTCTGGCTCTGGTGAAGAGGGCGTTGACAGTGTAACCATGGAAACGGAAAATGTCCCTTTTGGGGTGCCTCAAAACATGTCGGCACTCCTTTAAGGCAGAGCTTAAGCATCCTCGAGCTTTTGTTGGCGAGCGCAAGCACCCTTGAGTTTTTGTAAGCATACGTACATACAAGTGCTACTCATACATGCCGTGTACACGTACAAGTGCACACGGCAAAAGGTAGATGTCCCTCTGTAAGTTGCACGCGTAATACAAGGAACACAAGTCGTGATTTTTTAGTGTGCTGGCGTGGCTCTCTGGCAGGTGTTGCTGTGTCATCGTGATTCGCTTATGCCTTGATGGTGAAGCCAGCACGCAAATGGCTTGCGTTTTTCGGCGTGGCCTGAATATATAGATGTCTTTTTCATTCAGGAAGTAAACGTTTCTATTCGTAGCCCAAATGAATGCAGTAAACAGCGTGAACAGCACTGTTGCCTACAGGCTTTTGCGTTACAGCACAGAGGTTTGAGCTCTATAAATTAGTGATGTTATTCTTTTTATGTGAAAGCAGTACCTTAGATGTCAATATTAGTCATAGTAGGCAGTACAAGCATAGGTGCAGAAGTTAGCGAGAACTGAGCTAAAAGGAGAAGCGCATAGTATGTTATATTGATAGGGATAATTTTTGTGTGACGAGCTCCACACTATTTATTAGGGTGAAGATTCACACTAGAGCACGCATGATCCCCATGAAATCGTCACTGCCATGGAATCGAAAAAACAGAATGAGTTTTTATTGTGTGAACAGTTTAAAACTTTTCAGTCAGTTACCAAAGGAGCGAGCTTCAGCAGCTTGTGTTCTACAGCTGTCACTTTACAATTCCAACAGGGCAAGGTGAAGGACTGCTCCTCATTCTTCCCATTCACATTTGATTCCAGGAGGAGACACTAAGCTCGCTGGAGCTGGAGTATGAGCTGCAGAACAAGATCACGAGCGCTGCTCTGAGGTTGGCCAGCGACATGAGTGCAGACAGGAGCCTGAGGAGGCAGCGAAAGCTGAGCTACCAGCAGGCGCAAGAAAAGGCATGTCGAGGCTGCTGCAGCCGTTTTGCATGTCGGACTCTGGGCAAATAGCCCACCTGTATCGCCTGTTCACTAGTGACGTGTGCCGAGTGCCATTTTTATTTCTTCTGCTTTTTTTAGCTCAAGCAGGTTGAACAGAAGCTGGGAACACTGAAGAAACAGAAGAATCATGGCAAACTCAAACCTGTACAGCAGTCTGATGATGGTCAGTATGCTTTCACTTCATTAATCACGTATAAGAAAACTATCCATGACTAAGGTTATTGTCTTTTTTTCTTTTACTTCAGTGTCTGCTTACTGGCTTGCATGTCCTTTGTGGATGTAGGATTTTTTTTCTGAAATATATTACTTATTTAAGTCTTTGTTGTTGCAATCTGCCTCAACACTTTGCAGGGAGCTCCAGCAGGGGATGCCAGTGCATACTGGATGTACTTTCACTAATCTTCTGTATTGGCTGCCATATTAACTATGAGTGCTTACTGAATATCATAGGCGATTAGGGACCTACTGGTTGCTAGTTAGTTACTCGCTTGTTGAATTAAAGTATTGAAGTTACTTGCTTGACAAAGTTAAGTTGAAGATATTGCAACTTTGATTGCATAATGCTGACGTAGCTTTCTCTTTTCTAGAACCAAGCGAGGACAACATCAGTCAGAGCACTGCAGGCAGCGGTAAGTGGTGTAGTTGCGTGCGAATGACCTTGAAATTGTTTAGCACGCCTGACACCCACAATAGGCTTTTATTAAAAGCCGTGCAAATGAATCTTCTTTGCTGATTGATATTTTGCTGTGTTGTGCACAACGTATAACTTCTTTAATAACCAACTTTTTTTTTTCTTTTCAAGACACTCCATTTAGAGGAAGCAGCAATACATCGGATATCAGCCCCACAGCGTCGCCGAAGCTTAGCAGCTATGACGGCCATTTAACAGAGGTAAAGTTATTTGCTGTCTTCGTATTAAAAAACATTGCCAGTTTTCTTTGCTGTTTTATTGACTTGCTCATGGTGGTTATGCAGCTGTGACTAGTGCTGCACAACCACAATACAAAGTCACTGTTACTGACATTTTTTTCACAACTGTCATATGCTGTTAACTTTTATTGCACACTGTACACGTTCCAAATTCACACAGTAATGCGATTCTGTGCAATGCTTTGCAGAAGCATGGCCGCTTGCCTACAGTTAGCTCGGTGCCCAGTGACATGCGGCTGTCACCATCTCTGGCTTCAGTATCTGCCCCAGCCAGTCCCTGTAAACATAGGACAGCTCCCGGCAGGACTGCATCCCCGGGTGTGGCTTGGACTGGCTACGGCTCTGGATATGCCCCCAGCAACGTCTACCAGACCAGGACCGCATATCGTCGCCAACAGTACCCGACACTCACCAGCTCGGGTTCAGCAGGCTCCAGCCCAGTGCCCCTCAAGTTCCCCTATAGAGACAGGTATTGTTGCCTGCCATGCCTCGAATTGTGCCATCTGCACATGTGTTCAGCAGGTTCTACTTTCATGTGAATCATAGCCTGTCAACTGGTGCAACTTGTTTATACTTCGTTTCGTGCATCAGGTCCAGCACTATACAAGCTCATAAGACTTGGGTGCTTTTGAACCAAGATATATATAAATGAATTCACCATCAAAAAGTGATCTTTTTTTTTCCTTTTTAGGCTGAGTAATATACATGAAGGTACTACTACCGTAGAAATAAACAAATTCCATAATACAGTTGTCTGAAGGTTCTGAATTGCTCTATGATAGTGATGATGAAATGAACATTTATTTTCCGAAACAGTGTTCTTGAGGGAGGGCCCCTCATTCCAGGTATCCTCTATTTTCATATTGCGGCCTTTGCGATCTGCTGCACAGCACACTGCCAGAACTAATCGCGGATTCCAAGCACAAGATGCGTGGACTTGCACATTTTGCTGACCAAACTTCTTGTGTAGCTTCTGCAGCATTGCATCTGATGTATGAATCTGAGTAGTATATATATCCCACAAAGTTCAGCAACACAGTTTAAGAATTAACGTTTCAGAACCACAATTGCAGTTTGGAAGGTAATGGTATGCAAAGTTAGCTGTGCATGCTTTTGGAGTTGACCGCAGTTGCATTTTAAATCTTTTTGAGGGCACAAGGTGGTTTAGGAAAAATTCCTGGGTTATAGGCATTAAAGTTCTCATGCCACTATGTCGCCTCATAGCAAGCAGTTTTTTTAATGTTTTCTTTCATACAGTGAACACGCCAATTGATGGCACAGCTGGGTATATAGCAAATGAAATACCTGTAGTGGAATACAGCCAGTTATGTTACTGTACCTAAAATATTGCCAAAATACAGGCATAGCACTGTTGGGTATTTACTAAAAAAAACATTTATATTTTAAAGACTTGTTCTGCTGCTATTAGACTTCCTTCTTGCCTGTGTCGCTAAATAAATCTTAAGAAAGATTTGACCAAAAAGATAAACACTGGAGGTGGTTATTTATAACTGTACAATGAAATTATATTTTTTTTCCCCCTGATGCAGGTTTGAATCAGTCGTGAATGTGGAAGGAAGCAATCTCTATAGTGTGCCAACTCAAAGAACAAGCCAGGCATTTGACAGCCAGGATGATCTTATGACAAACAGCCCTTCAGAGCCCCAAGATCTGGGTTTGGTGTCCAGGCACAACAGCCTTGAAAGCAACCGACGTCATCATCGCCGTGTTGCTGGTACCTCATTGCAGCCTGTCTCTCCCACCAAGCATGACTCAGCAACACCTCCAAGGCCTACTGCTCCAGCTTGGACCGGTCCTCCAATCACTCCTCCCATGTGTCCGCCAGGACAATGTACTCCAGGACAGTGTCCACCAGGACAGTGTGATCCAGGGCAATGTACAACAGTGCAATGTGCTCCTGGCAATTGTGAACCAATACAGTGTTCTCTAGAACAATGTGCACCAATGCAGTGTGCTCCTGGGCAGTGTTCTCCTGGGCAGTGTTCTCCTAGGCAGTGTTCTCCTGGGCAGTGTGCACCTGGGAAGTGCGTTCCAGTGCCGTGTGCATCTTTGCAGTCACCGCTGGCTCAGTGCTCTCCCACACAGTATCTGCCAGGTCACTGTGCACCAATGCAGTGTCCGCCAACGGAGAGAGTTGAAAGCCACCCACGCCTACCACCACACATTCAGCATCAATATCGTACGGCATCGCCTCTGCAAATACGGCGAACTGTTTCTGGATCACTATCCTACCCCGAAAGTTTTCCTCCACCACCGAGCCCAGTAGTTGGCGGCAACCAGCACCACCCGAGCAAGTCTTACTCTTATCACGAAAACATGGTGCGACACATTGATGAGTGCGGAGTGCCTGTGTTTGTTCCCGTAGACAGTGATGGAAGGCTGCGCTACCAAGATGCAGTGCACCGTCCTACCGAGCCCGTTCCCATCTATCACAAGCCACCAATGTCGCCAGCCCTCATGCAGCACCACCTTGCCCACCGAAAGAAGCTGCAGGAGGCGTGCGGTGACAACTTTCCAGGCAGGCCACTGTCTAGCATGTCTGCCTCAAACTATCCAGCATTTCAGCGGGTTCACCCGGACCCTTATCACAGTCAGCCCACCAGCCCGACTGGCTACAGCGCAGCTCACAGTACCAAACTGGAGACGTTACAAGAGGGACACAGTGGCGCTTACAGCAACCATACTGTGTCGGTGACTTCTTCAAAGGCATTTGCTTCGGTCACTCAGTCGTACAGCACGGAAACCCTAAAGCACCGCACCAAAGACTGGGTGGAAACTTCTCTCGACTCTCCTCTTCCGGCGAGGAAGCCATCAAAACAGCAGGAGCCGCCTCCAGTCTCACCTTCTCGTGCCTCTGTGCTGTCGTCAGGCAGTGAAAGCTTGCCTGAAGTCTTCCAGAGTCCTGGAGTGATGCTGTCCCGTCACAACAGTTGTCGAGAGGGCAGAGTGGCTGTAGAAAGCCCACAACTTGAAAGGGACAAGATTTGTTCGCCGTTGCACCAGCCCAGCCCAAAAACTATGCCAGGTGTCGAGCTGAACATTGTCACAGTGGGACACTTCCAGCCCTACTGGGAAGAGACAAAGCCCTATGAGATCTCAGACTTCTACAAGTACAGCACAAAACATCGCAAGCCGTCGGGAGGCCAGGATTCGACTAGAAGCCCGAGCCAGTCTGGCAACTCCAGCGGCCTGGTGTCTCCCGTGCTGATGTCTCCTGTCTCCGCTGATAGCGTGTCCAGGGAGAGGGATGAACAGCCGCACGCTCATTCTTCACTTTCGGAACACATGAAGATGGTGGAAAGGAGTCCTCCAGATGGAATGGCGTAAGTAAACAGCTGGCTTGCTACACTTTCAGAGACTTGAAATGTTTAGTGGCATTATATTTAAATATAAAAGCACAGTGGGCACTTTACTGTTCTAATATTATTGCTATTCTGCAATCACTGTGGGATCTATATGAATTACATTTTTGCATTTGAGATGTGATAGATCTTGGAGCACCAACACTTGTTGCAGTGTTATTCAGTGACCTACCTGTATAGCAATACTTCACTCTGAAATATATTGGTCTAGTGTAAGTATTTGATGGCAAAATCATAATCTGGCAGTTGTTTTAAACTTGATTTGGAAAGATGAGGTAGTTTAAGCCAAGGTTATCTTAATGCATCTCTCTTCTTTATATTCATAATATGTCCATTATTCAAGTAGTTGTGCATGGTGGAAGAATGGTGCATTGTTCCACTACGAGACTCATTGGCAACATTGATTACACAACTACAGACACAGTGTTTGCTATTGCTGTTGTTCGTTTTGTGTCTGTGCCGAGAAAGTTTCTTTTGATTGTTCAACAAGCATTGACGAGGGTTGCTGTTTAAGGCATTCAGTCATTGTTTTTAGTCACTGCACATTGTGCGAACCTTTTGTACCATGTTTGGGAGGTTGTATCTGCTACTGATACATAGCTTGGGTGCTTGTTTTGCAGTGCTGTTGAGGAACCACATTCAGGCCGCAGTGCCGACAGTAGCTTGAACCTGGACAGGTCATCAGTTGCGGATGCCTTCCACGAAGAAATGATTGCATGGTATCAGGACCAAGACTCCGGCAATAAAGCAACACTTGTGTAAATGAAACTGCGTGTAGATAAATTCAGGTAAGTCCAATGCTTGACCCTGTAGTATGGTTCAACTTTATTCTTAGTTATGGATATGTTGTTGTAACCAGCTGTTCAAGTGCTGCAAGAAAAAGCTTACTATTCAGGTTATTAAATGCAGTGAATTTCTTTGTTTACTGTAGGCACTTTGAGCGTCTATCTGCGTGTCTGTCTGTCTGCCTGTCTGTCTGTTCATCCGCCCACCTGCTTACATCTCAATGCTGTGATGATCACCTAACTTGGTATAAACCAAAATAAGTATGGGATGGTGAAATGGTTTGATGAATACGGCTCTGTGGTCATGACATGAAAAATGTCACACTTTCGTTGCGTACGTCATCAAACGCTTCCCCAAAAACGGTGGCACATGCCTGGTGGCAGGTATGTGGCACTGGTATGCGGGTATGTGCCACAGGTGTTTGAGAGTTTATATTTACCTACGAACAGTGAGAACACGTATACGTAATTTTAACGCTTGGGCGTTAGGAAAAAGCGGACATCGGCAGCCTTGACCGGACGAATGCAAAAAATGCCATTGTCCCAACAGGAATCAAACCCCCACGATTTTGCGCAGCAATCAACTATTCTAATGCAGAGCCCTGCCAGGTCTCAGAACTACTTCTCAAATAGACCCTAATGCTTGTCAAATGCCAATCGTGGTTGCAGTGCCGACTTTCCAATTTTATAAACATTTCATATGTACTCCTACCATACAGCCATCACATCGGGTTAACATCAATTGTAGTCAGGTGTCATCTACTTTAGTTTATTTATGTAGCAATGTCCAGGGCTATGATTCTTGCGAGCAGCAGCGCTTAATATCAGCTTACCGCGTTGAGTGTTGCTAATATCCATGTTGCTGTTGGCATCGTTATGCAACTGTAAACAACTGGGGATATAAAACATATGTGGCTATTTAATGTATGTCTGTGCATACATTTATAGTATATCTATATTTAGTGACAACACAGTGAGCTTGCATGCGCATGCTTCGCATAACATAGATTTCCAAGGTACGTGGGACCTGCCGAATTTTTTTTATCGGACATCATGCAAGTTACCAGCTGTTCACTATCGGGTTAAACATTGTAATCAGTTTAAAGGGACACTAAAGGCAACTATTTAGTCGACATTGATAGTTGAAATAGCGGTCCAGAAACCTCGAAGTGTTACTTTTGTGGCAAGGAAGTGCTTATTTTAAAATAAAATCGCATTTGAGTGGTCTGCTTCGAGTTAGCACACTTCAAATTACCCACCTCAAGCGGAATGTCTCGCGTCACTGTTGCTGTGCGCAACATTGCCCAGCTTTACTGTGCAACCACTGACGCTATTAGCAGCAGAACGAAAGTAGCAGGAGACACAGCAGCAACAACAGCCATTGAGCAATTTCCTGCCACGGCCTTTGAGATAGCAGGCGTGCTTGGTTCAACTGGGCTCTGCTAGATGGCACGATCTGTTCAGTTTGACCAGGCGAGAATTGAACTTTTGAACCCCTCGTGCCATTCTCCGTAGTAATGTCCGGCGGTTCTTTTTTTTCCATGAATCAAATAGAAACAAAAAAGGCAGCATTTTATTACGTCTCTTGATGGACGGAAAGTTCTGTATTTAGTGCAGCTAGTTCGATAACCAGTGAATAATTGTAGGCGGTACCTCTCGCGTCATCGGGATCATATTGCAAATGTTCTACATGTAGCGCATGTGTTTTCATGCATTTACCTTAATTTCTTGGTAAGCGGGGCACTGCTGCCGATAATATTGTCTATTTAGATGTTGTCATACATTGAGCTTTCATTCTGACGTAAATTGTTAGTTGACTTTAGTGTCCCTTTAAAGGGCCACTCACCAGGTTTGACAATTTTGAGCTGACAAGCATAATGCGTAAACGAGGCGTTGATGATCACGTCTGCCAAAATTCGCAACGCTACGTGCCGCGGAAAAGGGTCAAATTTCAAAATGAACGCTGCTCCAACTCCCTTCTGCCGGCGCGCGCTCAGAGAATGAGGGCATGACATGTGCATATGAATGGCCTTACGTTCACGGCAATGCAGTGACGTTGGTCCTCTACGTAGACAACTCTACTCTGACGTTGCAAACAGTGGCACGTGACTTGGTGAAAATTATTTTACACGGCTTGCATAGTTTATGTAATTTGTTGCTTGCAGAAAATAAAAGCTCTAGACAAATAATGAGACGCAATAAGGGAATGTGAGCATCTTTTTTTCCATTTCTCTCCCGTGAATTGCAGCGAGATGCGGGGCTAACGTGTCGGCGTTTCCCATGCGTTCATGTACCCGCGGTCAGCGCATCGAGCAGCGATCGCCGGGGAACGCTTCTACGCATTCGCGTACTCATTGTCTTCATCTATTCTACCGCGTTTCCAAACCATCCCGTAGAAACAGGCAGAAGACCACAAAATAACGCTGGTCAACAAAGCAACGCCGCTCGCGTGCTTGAGGGTTGGACTTGTTTGGGCACGTCATGCATCTTAGTCAGATGCCTGAGAGGGTGGGGAAGAGATTTGGTTTGCGAAGGCTACGTGGAGGAGTGGCAAGGGTTTTGAGCTCGCCTCCTTTCATCCTCGTTTCGCGCCGCTTCAAAAAATCCGTTTTCTCCGCTCGCGATGAACCGATTCAAAAAATTATTTGTGGCAAACTATTCCTCATCAGAAATATAACAACTTTCACTGTCTAACCAAAATTTGGTATGGGGCCTGGTGAGTGGCCTTAAGGTGTGGTTGTGGTGATAGCATTGCTATACTCTGCGACAACTTTTCTTGGCACTGAAGGGAAAGCTACGAATGCAGAGCTTCTGCGCATGTAGCACTACATGAAGTAGTTCGTTTTGGCGTGCGTCTCATTAATGCTGTGGAAAGTGATGGGGGTGCACCATCAGCGTTTTATGTAGACGCAGACACCGCTAAGTGTTTGAGGCGCACGTAAAAAGGTAGAACTTTCTCAGGCATTCGAAAACGCAAAGTAACAATAAATAAATTTAACGAATTACGAATATCTTGATGGTGTGAGCTGCGTCCCGTCTCGAATACATAGAAAACAAGAGAGGAATCGTTACGTTTCACGTTGAAAATACAAGCGCTATTGTGGAACTACATTCACGCAATCTGGCTCTGTAGCCTTTGCTCCAATGCCAAGAAAAGCTGTCGACGAGTATACAGCACTAGCGTTTCCCCAGTGTTTGATTTTCGCTATATTTTGGCACTACTTTTGATTTAAATGGCCCTTACAGTCAGCTTTATTTTGCAGGAAGCCGAAATGAAGAATAAGATTTTTACTTTTGTGGCGTCCACTGAGATGATGTGTAAATTTAAATTGTGATAGTGTGAAGCGTCGATGCAAGACAAGATGTCAATATGTTCGTCCGTACATGCTTAACATCCGTACAATAAGTTGTTTAACCATGTTTGATTAGCTTGCTTTTTTTCTCAGTTCAATTGCTTTTGAAAACCTTTACTACTGTTGGCTTGCATTTTTCCTTCTATTGTCTTCCTTTAAAACTGTGCTAGTTTTTAATTTACTTTCTTTTTTCTCTGGTCAACTGTTTCTCGGAACTATGCAAGTTGTTTAAAAAGGGCACAACTTGAACAGATCGCAGAATGTTGTCCAGTGTCTGCTTGTCTTGCCAAGCCTTCACTGTTTTTTTATTTTGCCTCTTTTTCTTTTTACTTGCAGGTGCTATAGAACAAGAAAATATTCATCATTATATAACTGGACCTTGCAAGTGAGAGTTTTATAGAAGACAATGTACATAATTGTTTTTAATTGTGTTCTGCAAAGTATTTATTGTAAACATCATCATTTTATACAAATAAATTTTATATTCTTTTTAAATACCTTTCACCGTGCATATGTTTTCATGTGGAAAGGACCGTGTGAGAAGTGTTAGCAGCAGCAACAAATTAAGGACTGCAACATAAATGGATAGTGCAAGGAGCGGAATGGATGAGGAGGTCATTTGCACTTGACAAAATCTCTTGGAAACAACTGATCATTATCTGTCTGCTTGATATGCCTCTCTATTCAATTAGTTCGCAGTTATTTGTGAAGCACGCGCCTGCTATTGGAGAAGTATGCGATATTCAGATTAATCGATTTACAGGTGAGAGACTTAACCTTTGGTGGAAATGGTTTTCTTTTTTTTTTTTGTTTGTTTGGATGCTAGATGCCCAAATGTCTTTCTCACTAAAATCCAAATAAATGTGACCGTTTAACAAAGTTTTGCTGTATTCAATTTTTGAAGGCGTATAGTAAGCTTGCTGTGTTATTAAAAATTTTGGACACAGAATTGAAAGTGTGCTTATAACGTTTATCGAACAGAAAAAGTGTATTTTTTTACCTTATGTAGCTTTGGTGTACCAAGACCCACGTGTATTCCCTTCTCACGTTTTGTCATCGAGGCCCTTTCGCATCGGAAAAAAAAAACGCATGTCGTGATATATGTTTTATGCTTATCTTTATTCATTGTTCATGTATATATTTCACTCTCAGCATAAATAGGGAAGAGATCATAACATAAATACTACAGTTTTTCTGGCATGTAATTAAAAAAACGTTTCGCAACACTAGTATATTTGAAAATGGATACTAGGCATTCCATGTTTCCATGGAAGTGTCTTTGATGTTCTGAAGCATTCACAGAGGTTATTCATAGCTCATCTTGAACAAGAGATACTGATCGAACGTTATGCAACAAGTTGAGAACAATTCATTTTTTTTCCCCCAATCTTTTCACTATTCCAGATGTAAAATAGCCGTGTCTTAAACTAGAGATTCATGATACAAGGATGTAGGCATTCAGGAACTGAAGTATAACCAGGAGTAAAGTTACTAAACCAGTCTTCTTATATATGTAGCTGTACTCGCATCTGCAGATTAGACCATAAAAAGCGGGGGAAGGGGGGGCTGCATTCTCAGAGTTAGCTTGTAAAGCGCATGCGCCCACTTAGGTATGCTGAAGATTGCAATTCCTCACTACAGTTTACGCGTCACTTCACTTCAGATTGTTAGCATGGTTCAGCTTCGCCCAGCAGTATAGCTGTAGATGTATAAAAACTTGGTTGCTAAACTGTAAATCTTAACTGTTGCATGTGCAGAGAACATTAGTTTTTTCTGCCATAGTTAAGCGACCAAAATCTACAGCATAGCCCGCTCTTAAAGAGAACGATGGCTACCAGTAATGGATGAAATATTGCACAAGACATGGAGAGACACTCGTATAGCATTGTGGTCTTTTTTGGTCGGGAACTACTACACTGGTTTCGCACTCTGTGAAAAAAAAAAGCACCTAGACTATTTTTTTTATAAACATTCAGTTTCTTTCGTATTTTCTGTTTCCTATTCTTGGGAGTCTTTGCACAATGTACAACGTATTTACAGCCAGGATCACACTGTAGGCATCAAAAAAGCGATTGTTGTTTTTTCAAGACCTTATAAAGTTTTTTTTTCTCTCTCCAAGTGCCTTTATCCAAGGATGTATGTTTGCCACCTATGAAATTGTGTGTTCATTTTTTTACACTAAAATAACTTCCAGACTCGGTAATTAACTCTTTTCAAGCTTTTCCCACAAATTCCAGTAAATAAAATTGCCATCTTTCAAGTACCTTGTGCCCGCAAAAAAAAAAAAAAAAAGAATTCCTTCACAGCTTATTGCTAGGAAAAGCCTTCCTGATGCACAGACATTACGAGGCAATATTATTGATATTTTAAAAAATTCCTGAAATATTGTATTGCAATCATAAAGGATAAGCCAACATGTGTGTTTTTTGGGCACTTCAGAACACCTAGACAGAACCAATATTTCTGCTTGTCAAGATGTGCCCAGTGTAAGATTGTGAAGTATTAGCGGAAAAGTGATAGCTTAATATGTAAAGCAGCCATCGGGGTAGAACCTAAATTGGTTTCACTGGTAGGTATGTGTTCCTTTTAAGAGTTGGGGCCATGCTGTACAACTAGCCCAAGCTCTTTCGGTGTGAACTGTACAGTATGCTTTACATGTACAAATAGCTCTGAATAGCACTTTTAGTTGGCACGGGTATTGTTGATATTGGTAATGCTATAACGGGTTTACGTAGATATGCTCTTTGAGGTATGGCTAACTTGCATTAATTCAAACTTCCCCACTTAAATTCAAATTATAAAAAGTTTTGAGGTGTCTTAAAGCAATAAAAGATAACCGGCAGAAAACTTTGTTCTGCTGCATAAAAAAGCATATGCAGCGTGATCCTTCTGAGAAAACCGTACAGACGAATTTGCCGACGTGCAACACGGGCAGAAACCTTTAAAAAAAGTTTCTTACTCGGAAGTTACTGCATGCTGTCAACTAGTTTTAAAAGTTTACGGAAGTTATATAACGGTGTGCCATATGATGGCTAGTTTAGGCAGATAACATCCTGCTTCTTTTGTTTGGTCAAATTTGAAGGAGTGGAAGATTTTGTGCTATTAAAGAGCATAATTGAATCTGAACAGCTCCAAGACGCAATGAAATTTGCTACTCAACCTAAAGCGAGACCTCGCATAATTCTGCTTCCTTTTCGAATTTCCCATATCAGTATGGGCACTTTTTTTGTTTTATATGTCATGTACTCATTATAAGGTCTTCCATTCAGGCATTTTTCTTGGCGATGCCTCACAGTTTTTTTTTTTTACTTTGGACAACCTCGCATTATATTGCCACACAAACCTGTTTACTGCTGCCTTATCGATATAGCTGCATCCTATTCCCATTTTTGTGACCTTGTGAAGCTTGCATTTCTTCAAGAGAACTACTTCAGGTTATACAGCATTCATAACACCAGCTTTTATGAAATGCAATTTTTTGTTTGCATTATATTATTACGAGTTAATCGTACAGATGAAATGCAACACTCTTTGCTTAAATATCTCTGTCATACTTATTTTTAAATGCAAATTCAGTAAATGCTTTTTATGTATATTCTTGAGACGTGAAAAGAGTAGCCTGTGACATAGGGTCGCGTGTGGATAGGCCTAATTACACATATTCAACTGGCATACGCATATTCAACTGTTTTATGCCCTCAATCATAAGAAATACTTAATTTCAGAAAAACTTCAGAATTACTACATGCATCACAAGCCACTTCCTATATAGTATTTTGTATCTTGCAAAAAGAAAATGTTATGTGAAGTTCTAGCATCCTAGTGCTAAGGTAAATGGCAAACACAAAATGAAACTGTAATACACATTCAACGTGATAATTCGCAGCAGAAATATACAGATGTGAAAGTAAACAAGCTCTGTTATACAGCCAAGTGCTTTTGGCACAAAATTTGCACCCATTCAAATTTCAGCTACAGACAAGACCTCAAATATAAGTTCAGCCACGGTTGCAATACCACAGGTTTGGTAAATTTTTCATTGTAGGCCAAAGCAACAGTGGTCTGTCAAACTGAAACATTCTAAAGCATGACATTGATACTGTCATGAATTTTTTTTAAATGCTTAGCACTGGTACTATTCACTTGCTAACCAGTGCTTTGAACTATTTTACATTATAAACGGTACGTATGTCAACTAGTCTTAACAATAAGCCCTCTAGACATTCTTAAATAGACTTGCTCTTAAAAATATTGTTCAAGCGTCAAAAATATTAAACACTCTTCTTATGTTGTTCAATTTATAATGTTGCACCAGAATGTATGGCATTGCCTATCTTTGGACATCGTCATTGTATATATTAAAATTTTTTTTTAATGTGAGGTAGTATTACATTTTTGTTCTTCACAAGTAGCTGCTGCAAAATAAAGTATCAAGCTTAACAATTGCTACATGTTCTTAATTTTTATAACTATGGTTGTGTAATGTCGACATTGTTGACTTTTTTGTGGTCCTCGTTACTGCACTGCAGCTGAATAGCCAACATAGTGCATTAATTTTATATTGCAACCTTGATTGAAACCCAAACTCCATGCTTTTAATATATACGTTTCAATGGCTACTCAAGTGAGCAGTAAAAAAAAATGGTGTAAATATTTTTTCCAAGATGACAGCATATAATATAAAATAGCACTGAAATATCATGAACTCACTAAAAAACACAGAAAAAAAAAACGGCACCGGACATATGGATGGTAGTTTGCATATAAATAGCACTCTATAGATCAAGCTGTCAATTGAGATATAACTTCTAGCATGATAGAATTTCATCAAAGGTATGATAGGGCTCTCTGCAGAAAACTATCTGCTACATCATCATGGGACTACACTCCTCAAGGTTTCCACAATAGGAAACATTCTCACATAATATGTTGCACACTGCATAACAGACTCGTAATATGCATCATTGTCGAACAGCATGTAGAGCTCGATGCCACTTCTTAGACATACCGGTACGATTCCTTGCCACAAGTTGGAATGCTAACTGGATAAAAGTGATTCAACGGCAGATATGCACAAATGCATCATACGTCACAGCGTATCATGTATCTAAGGGAAGATTGATAGCACAGACATGACTGCAACTACTGCTGCCCATGGCACTGTTATTTTTAAAGCAAATTTTAGAAAAATTTTGCGAGTTGTTTGAATGGAGATTTCACTATGTGTTTTGGGAATTCGGCAACAAAATACAAAGCTGTTTTAAAAATAATAAAAACAAAAATATTAGACCTTTTCTTTTTCTGAAGGAACATTTGTGAAAAAGATTTTGCGTGTGAAATGGCCAAACCTCTTCTGGGACGAGGACATTCTTCTGAACCAAAATATAATCATAGGTGTTAACATTCTCTAGTTAAAAATATAAGCGTTTTATGACTAGAATTTTAGGGCTCCTTTCTTAAAGAAAAACCTCCATAAAAAATACAATTCTGGTGGCAACAACATTCTCTTGCTTCAGAAAGGATGCGTGGCATTCATAAATAAGTCACAAAAGTTTGCATTTGGTAGCTTCAGCAATTACAAAGAACATGTTCCTTTTCTCATGAAAAGTAGCGTTAGTTAAAAAAAGGCATTTAAAGTTTGAGTTGCCGCTGTGCAGTCACGGGATCAGGTGCGTTTGGTGCCATTTTCAAATGCTTTCCTCTGCACTTAAAAAGTCGCCACTTCGTGGAAGCGCTTGTCAGTAATGCTGCAATATTGTGCCATGAAAATTGAAAAATCACATTTTCAGACGTCCTTGCCCTCCGTGCCCCCTTAAACACTGTCACCAAGAGGTTCGGTCACAATGCCCAGCAAGGGACATAAAAATAGTATGCTCTCGCTTTCTCGAACCTGTGTGCATTTCAGCTTCTGCCAACTGTACTGTACACAAGTTCACAAAAACACATCGACATGCAGAAATTGTTCGGCAATAAAAAGGTCCCAGCTTCACACGTAGCTCGGTGTGGTGGTCAATGCGGCAAAGATTGGAGCTTGCTTATTTAAACACTTCTTTTGTGCTTGAAAATTTGCTTTCTATGCTTTTAAGCACGGGAATCAAATGAACTACCTTGAAGGATTGCCAGTGTCTATAGAAAGGAACTCCACTCTAAGGTAACCACCAGAAATTCCTTTTCAAAGGTCAATAGCGAGAGGGTGTAGGGCCCAAATAATCGGTAGGACGCTTTGTATAATATTAAAAACACGCCAACACAGCAAACTGCAACATTGTTCATTGTGGGACCCCGACATTCAACAGACAACGTCACAACATTCAGGACCTTTGCACCTCGGTACAAAATGGAACAGCTTCGCTCTGCCTGCTGACACAAGCTAAAATACCTGATGGATTGTGTCCCCATACACAAAGATAAAGGTGATAAAAAAGCGTTATTGCAACGTGGGCAGCCTCCGTCAACTTGCATTAGCTCGGATAAAAGCATTGCAAAAAGACGAGTAAGAAAAACGCCTTGTGCTGAGCAAGCGCGCGCCGTGCAAAATACTTTCGGGCAATGTTGCGCTTCTTTCACTAAAGCATGAGGCACATGTTTAAGCACGGGGAGCCATTGAGAGCAGGCACACCTGACAGATCTCGCAATTTGCAAGGATTTTTAGGCCGTCTGCAATGCTGTGAGGATTCTTGCGTCAACTGTACTGAATGTCTAGGTTCCTTTTGCTCTGACCTAGAGGCCAGATCACTGTCGTGAAGAGAAAAAATCTCTGAGATGTGCCTGCTTTTAACAATCATTCCCCATTAGCACTCAAGCGCCCCCTATATACAGATATTTTTTTGCCCAAACAGCAGCGCACATCAAGTTCCTGCAGCTTGCAAAAGCAACGTACATAAGCAGAATCAACAGTCGACTTAGTCTTTCAGTTCACACCATCTCGTCTCCCGAAGTGGCAGATGCGTTTTCCAAGAGCTTCCGATTCATTTCCACCACCATTTTCGGAATTCGGTAGTTGTTCATCTCCACAAAGTCGGACATGATGATGTTGCAAGTGTGATTACCGCTACCCGGCACTTGGCTTGATAGCCAGCTCTCTAGGACCGCATTCACCTTGGGGACAACGTAGACCCTGAGGCTATTGCAGATGTGCATGGTGACCGTCGAAGGCTGAGGAGTGCCAACGGCCTGAAGCACGAAGAACGCCTTGGGATCACGTCCCTGCTGCAATGTTTGGTTCCAAAATGTGACCAGGCGCCCAGCGTCGTCTTCATCTGGCCACGGGTTTGGGATGTAGCTCGTAGGCCAGAGGTACGGATGGTACTTGGCCAACTTTTCGTGACCGTAGAAGGTGATCATCTGATATCCACGCCGCCACAGTGACGCGAGGGTGATGTTGTCCAGGTCTGTGGTGAACTGGCACATAAGTGGGCCGAACGCGCTCGTCAACTTGTTCAGGAGGCGGTTATGGTCGGTGTCCGTCATGTTGTAGAAGTGCTGAAAGTGAACCAGTATGACCTCTTTCTTGTGGCTTTCGAGGAACTCCTTGACTTCCACAAGAAAGTTGTCGACGACGGCACCGAACAGCCCGTGAATAAGGTACAAATTTTCGTCTTTCAGATCCTTCCTGACGGCTATCCTGATGTCGAAGTAGCGGATGCCAGCATGCAACTGCTCCATAGTGCTGATGTTCTGCGTGACTGACCAGCTGTACATGATCTGCTTTCCTATGGGACCCAAAAGTTTCAACAGCTTGTTGCCGTAGTACTCGTTGTCCGGCGCTATTTCTGCTTGTGGTGATATGGTATAGCTGCAGCTATCGTGCGATCCTGGAAACATGGAAATGACAATGTCTTCAGAATCTCTGCCGAAATTAAATGCCGACCCGACTATGCTATAGCTATAATTAATATGTAGCATTTTTATTCTCAGTCATCTCCTGTAACAAGTGGAACCGTTTCCGAGTTGCGCAAATAGAGCACAAAATCAAAATGCCACGGGAGGTCATTCAGTGCTGCACCGCATTACACGCATACGTGCAGAGAAAACAGCTTACGCACAGTACGCCGTGTGAAAATAGAACTTTTGACTTTCTTTGTTTTTTTTATGTGTTACGATGACGCGTGATCGCACTCGATTCCTCTCTCCTACTGACGCATAAATAACGCGCCATCGGTTATAATTAAATGCGCGTAAGAAACCTGGCAGACATTAAACCGCACTCTATTAAATGATCCTCGCTGAAAAACGGGATCGGGGTACGTAAACTGGGTCATCCTTCAATAGAGAAAATTGGTTCGCCTGCTCCAAGGAAAAGCTCATGCCTAAATGGGAGGGGCAACGTACGTGTGCTACGCGCGTATGCTTCGTTCGAGGAAAGCGGCAAGGACGTCCGAAATTAAGATCAATATATGCGGCCAGGTTCTCGTTCAACTTTTCTCACTAGCGGCACGCCAAATTAGAATGTCACGCGCTTCTCCACTGAATCTCGGACGGACGTGTACCGCACGCGGTGCGATGCGGACGATCGGAGTGGCTAGCAGAGCTTTCGCGTGTATATACCTGGTATGGCTAGGTGGTTCAGCGGTACGTTGTGCAGCTCCCCCGGCAGGTTGCCCATCCAATTTTCCATCTCGGACGTTGCGTCCCCATCGGTCACGGCTGCCATATCGACGGCACCACCGTCAGAAGCTGCGCGATCGTACGCAGGATCGGCGAGCACGCAAGCACCCTCCAGCTGATGAGCATGCTTGGTACCAGTTGCGTAGAACCACCACACCCACATGACCTACGGAGCCGAAGGATAGAGACAATGTGCGGCAATCTGTTAACGCCATGACTCGAAAGCGAATTCGGGAAATATTTATAGGGAGAATAACGAGCAAATGCTGTAATATTATTGATACGATTGGTAAAGAGGGCGCCAGGAGCAACCCACAATGGCGGCATCCACTGGAAAATAAGCATGGCCGAGTCAACTGAGTCAGTTCATTGAGACGATCAGCTGTTTGCGCTATCTTAACTCCCGGACGAGCAAGTCATGTCTAACGCTCAACAGACCAACAGTCAGCCTGATGATTCGTCGAAGAAAGAAGCTAAACCTGAACAAAGTTACGGCTTTGAGAGCTACCCGGAAAGACGGGGTGGAAAGAAGCCCGAGAACTGGCTGCGAATCGCGCTGTTCGGCGAAGGTCGAGAAAACTTAGACAACATCCGCTGTGAAAAGAATGTCGTGGACTGCGTCAAGGACAGTAAGGAACGTTTGTCGTTGCTAGTCAGCATCTGTACTTACCGTGTAGCGGAACATACTTTGCTGCGCAGATCGGGTTGTACGGTAAGGTGCGACGACATGCTTGCATTGAACTTTGCTATAAGTGTAACCCGATATCTCTGCGATCTAATACGCGACATCGATGGAGCGCTTTTCCTTCTGTTCCCGTTCTTTTATTTTTACCTGTGTGTGACGCGTTCAGGTGTGAGTAATATTCCTGCGCGACTACAGCAGCGTGGACTGATTCCATCATGATAGCTGCGTAACAGGTTTGCCACTACGGCTTATAATTATGGTAGAAACATTGTGTTTTGCTGAAAACTGCATTTTTTTTGTGATCGCACGTTATCACTTTGTCTTGCAGGTCCCCTGGTAAAGCTGATGATAAGTGCTTTAAAAAGTGCCGGCTGGTAGGTAAATCTCATGTATCATTTTTAATGTGCTTTTGTAGCAAAGCTAGTTTTTTATGTAGTGGCGTAACATCCTGTACTCTAATTTATCTCCTGTAATCCCGTCGTTGGTCGTATGATACAATATTTCTACATTGCACTTATTGTACCTAATTTTTCATTGATCTCTAATCATATGGTGGTTTTGGGACATTATAAACACAAACAGTTATTTTCATTTATCTGAGTGACCAGAAATATAGTAAACAAAAAGGAATGTATGCACCATGCAGCACGATCGTCTGCAGAACTTAAAATACCTCACAGAACAATATTGGGTGAAAGGATTCAGTAACGAAACACTGTAGAAAAACAGTTGCCTCCTGCTTGACTTCTCAAGTCTCTTGCTGGTGTTATGCAGCATGCATGCTTGCCTGACATGCAAAGCATAGTACCATCTGAATTTTGCATAACAAGCTCAAAGTAACATGCTACTTAGCCTTAACTCTACAATACACAAAGAACAATGCTACAAGACTGGCTTGTCTCACAGTTCTCAAAGTTAACTAGCACTTTGATGATCCATTAATGGGAACAGTCACCATGCGAATTGTAACGACGACATTCCGACGCAATTCGATGAGCTAGCTATACTGCATTAACAGTGCAAGGATTGCTCTGGTAATACATGGTAGTAAAGTTACATAATGGCAGAGCTGGGAATGCCAACAGAACCTCAACTGAAACAGTGTTTCGATTGCACAATGCAACATGCATGGTCAACTTCAGGACGTCGAGCATCTCCATTCAGATGATTGCAGTGTCACCATTGCATACCTTTTGTCTATCTCCATCCTTGTACACAATGCAACTCATGGCTATCTAAAGATTGGACACTGACTGAAGAAGAAATTATATGAAGGATCACTTATCTGCTTATCTTTTGTTTGAACATTATTTTTTTGTTCAAGTAAACATACTTAGTCAATAAGTCCATAGAATAGTAACCCGATCTGATGTTTCATCTCTTATTATTTATATTCTGCTCTGCTTCTTGAAGCGAGAGTGTGTTATACTGATTTCTGTGCTTATTGCCTACAATTATTGAAGAACAATCATGAAATTCACCTCATTATAATCACAAGGTAGAAGGACTGCAAAACAGACATGTTGTGACTGTTGCATTACTGTTGCTTAGTTCAGTTACATCAGCTGGCAGGTTAGTTAATGAGGCAGTGTTTATGGGTATAATAGCTCAAGTGTAACAACGTATGCTGTGTGTTTTGATTTCTTGTTATACGTATTATCTAATTGCCAATTATTTGTTTTCTGCTGCCACTTCATCGCCACTCAAGTTTAAGAACTTGAATCGGCACCTTGCATACTGGAAGACACATGTCACACTCTAGTAGCTGAAGCAAAACTACAATATGTTCAATCTCTGTGGGCTGAATGCTGTACAGGTATAGGTCGTCCCTTTTCGGCTGTATTATGTAGGTTTTTTTTTTTTTTTTTGTGTGCTGGAGCTCCAAGTCCCATGTTTGATGTTCTCTTTTCAGTGACATAGACATTCGAAGGAACATCTGCTGTGAGCCATGCGAAGGTCTTGTAACTGGTGGCTTTGACACAGAGTATAACCAAGTCGTCGTGTGCCAGAATAAGGCCAGGTCGAGAGGCACTGTTCAGGGTGTGCTTGCCCATGAGCTCATGCACATGTTCGACTACTGCCGAGCCCATATGGACTTCAAGAACATGGATCATCTTGCTTGTACAGAGGTGGACTATCTCATCTTGGAATTTTTTTTTTTAGTCGCAAATAGTAGTCATAGGAGCATGCAAGGGAGCCGCCGTGGATAAAGGGGTGACACAAAATCGTAGTTTCAACTAAATGTTTAATAAAATAAAATTTATTCTGAATTATTTCACTGTTAGTTTCTTCAGCTTAGTTGTAAAAAAATTCTTATTAAAAGATCCGCATGAGATTTTAAAACAGTCGCTTGTTCTTCATTGTTATAAATTCAAATTAGCCAATGGAAGACAAGCTTACATCCCTTACTTCACCCTCCGCTGAAGCAAAGAAAACAATGCTAGTGGATATTGCTAGAAATCTTCTTAATTCTTTAATGCAATGTAAAATGCACCCCACATAAGCAGGTATTACTAGGCATGTGCGAATAGTGTATTTAAGGTTTGAAGCGAATTCGTATCAAATAGTAATTTAGTTTAATAATTTAAAGTGAAATTAGAGTAATATTTATCATGTATTATAAGGGAAAAAAATGAGTATATTTTTTATAATCCACCTAATGTGCACAATATTTTTTAACATTGAAACAAGCTGTATGAATTGTCATCCTTTCTAAGTGGAAGCAACTTTGAATAGTAGCAGTATTTGACTTTCGGTAAAATGCTGGTGATAACCCCTGAAGTACGTTAATTTTTAAAATTTGCTACACTTAGAACATATAAGTTGGCAAATTAAGCTTTCAAGCTTAAAAATTATATGAATTGATGTGAGGGTAATATCATCGTTTAACCTTGAAGCGGGGCTTGGCGGATTTTTTTTGGATAGGTGTGTTCATGGTGTAGCATTCATACACTGTAGTGAAACCGCCTTTACAGGAGGTTACGTATAGTTTGTATATGATTATTTGTTCATTCCAATACTTCAAAAATTGATGGCAACATAAATTCATGTCGAAGTAAATTTCATTACTGTAATATTTGGTTGAATATTCGCACATGCCTAGGTTACTTTACCCCTTTCTTTTTTTTACCATCTAACCAGTGTTGCAGAGCTGCAGTGTCTGCAGATTTGCACTTTGTACACTGGTTCTTCACTCACTGCACTGTGACAGCACGAAAAGCCTGAATATGTAAAATAGCTCAGTGAGTATGGGCAGTTGTTACCGCTTCAACCAGTGCCCGAAAGAGATTTTGGCATAGCAGCGGTCTCTTATAACTTCACTGTACTGGCGCAGCAGTGGCTCTGCTGCCCCCGATGTGTGTTCCCAACAAAGGATTAGAAACACAAGAAGCCTTATATCTCAACTCTGATTACAGTAAAAAACAGGAGTGACAAATGGCACTATCTTTAATACATATACTACGATGCTCATAGCTGAGGTTGACTTTACCTCCAAAGTGAGGTGCCAATTGTTAATTTTTATCAGGAGACCTGTGAGGTCTACATTTGCAGGACCTGTACACATCGATTACAGTTGCAAAGCAAACCCCATAATGCCAACCAGTGGAATTTCCTGGAAACAGTGCTGCTGTTGAATTTTGATACTGCTTTGCTTACCTCTCAATTGTTGCTGTCAGTCTACTAATTTTATCCTTTTCGTTGACGTGAATATGCAGGTTCGCGCTGCAAATTTGTTCCATTGCTCCTTCATGAGTGCCATGTCGCAAGGTTCAGCAAGTCCCTTCAATATAGCTAGGTCTCATGCGGTAAGTCCTTTCATGATACTATGTGATAGGTATTCTGTTTATAGTGCCATTGTGGTATGCTGTATCCTTATTAGCACTTTACACAGGTCAGTGAATATGGTAGGCATCACTGGTAAAATGTATTTTGCTCCTCTGTATTGTTTTAAGGAAAGGCTGAATAGGATAGTGAAGTTTACCTGGATTGGTTAGATTATACTTATCAAAAACCGCAAACACTAGTCTTAGTGTGAGGAATATTCGTATGCCAGAAAAAAAAAAGAGGAACCAAAACATTGGATCAAAGTTCACGTGACATCATGAGATGTGTGATTTGCTCAGCTATAGCCCACTGTTTATTGATAAACAAGAACTAGTACTGTGCATTCTGAAGGAATAAAACAGCCAACCTGGTGAACCTTAAGTTAAATTCAGTTGGTCATTTAAAAGCTTTGTGATGGTGCTGAGATGGTCATTATGTAATATAACAGTGATGCTGTATTGCATAAGCACTGTAGGAGTGTTGAGCATTGTGATGAAGCTTTGTCACAAGATAGCTTACAAAAGACTCCTTGAATGTACTTTTAAAGTGTGGAGTGTCAAGAGCTTGGCTTGTTGTCCACCCATGCATCTCATGTGGCTTGATCATGCTCACTGAAATGCTCAACGCAAGCTGTAAAAAGGCTTGCAATGCTTAAAACTAAGTTAAAAGGAACGAGCAAGATCTAAAACAATATATGTAAAAAAGACCCTAGAAGAGTTGTTATAATTTACTCAAGATAGCAAAAAAAAAAATGCCTTGGAAACATGCGCCTGACTCCCGTGCTGCAGAAGGGATGATGCCACCACCCGGCTAGAAGCCCGATAGCTCCTTCCACGTGCACTTCACCTGTGTGCACTTCATTCTCAGCATGTTGATGGCAAGTGCTCCTCCCGCATGCACTTCACTTCTGGCATGCTGATGGCCGACAGGAGCAGGGCTCGCTCTCCATTAATGTGCGGCCGTCTTTAAACCGGTTGTACTACTCCTTAATTTGTGTGCGGCTCATAGCATCGTCATTGAAAGCCGTCGTAATCTTTCCAATAGTTTCCACTTGGCTGTCACCCAATTTCTGGCAAAATTTGGTGCAGTAGCGCTGCTCCAGCCGCTCCGCCATTTTCCTTGCAATAAAAAACCCAGGAGAGCACTGCACACTGTCTTAGTCAAACGCTGCGTCCCAGCGACTGACGCTATCGGCAGGCGGGAAAAAAATTTATGCATGCACGTGAAGCTTCAAGGTCGGCTGATGGAAGCGTGCTTGTTTCAAATCCATCAGCTGTTCGCAAAAAAAGAAAAAAAAAAGGTTGGATACTTTTCTAACAGACCTCTCACTGTGTCCTCAAAATAAGTTGCAGCAACATTTCTAAAGTAAAAGATACACTTTTTTTACTGTTACATTTTGATTCATTTTAATGTTTTCTCCTTGCTTCTAGGAATGTGTCAAGCAGAAGGCTGTCAGTTCCATCGTTGTGGCGAGGGGTGTTTCGCAAGAGGAGGCAAGAAGTGCTGTTGATCGTATTTTCGACAAGTGCTACAACGACCTCGAACCTGTGGGAAGGCGGATACGTAGGAATTCGCCGCACATGCAGTGGGCATATCGGGAACGCTACCATTATGGATACGACGAATAAATATAGTTAGTAGTTTTATAACGACATTATAATTGAAATCATTTAAGAGGATTTTGTTGGTGCCACAAGAAGTCATGTTCATATTGTCTGCAGATTTTCGTTAGGTGGACTAGGCCTTTGTTTTATAGGTTGAATAATAAAAAAAAGCATTGTTGTTTTCAAAGTAGTGTTGTCTCTCTATCTCTTTCTTTTCCTTATAATCAGGAATAGTGTTTTATTACACGGAGGCCTGCGAACGGGCAGAGGGCCACGGTCTTCCAGTCCTGGCGGGGACGCGACCAGCAACTTCGGCGGACCCCTCTTATGGAGGTGTCTGACCAGTTCTCGAGAACCAAATAAAGCTCATTTCACTTCACGGCTGTAAGAAATATGTAGAAGTTTCATATCTACAGAGTATAATATGTACAGGAAAGTTTTATACTTGGGAATGTACTTGGTTCATGTCCTCTCTGTTAGACTTCTGGTGTGACCAGTACTTATAAGTGATATTGAAAGTCGAGACTGTTTCTAGTTTTCATTTGTGTTTGTGTCTGCAAATTTGTGCTAGTTCTGGTAGGTAAGAAAGTGATGAAAACATTTAATAGTGCCGGAAGGATATTATAATTGTGTTGAGAGTCTTTTGCGAATTTCGCTGGACCTCTAGAAATGACGAAGCATCGATATTCTTATTGTATCGCTTGTAAGGCAACCTAAGCCATGTTCATGTCGTCATGCGCTGAATAGAGCAGCGTCCTACTAAGGGAACATCTTGCTGTCTCAATTCAGAACACTACAATTATAATAAATCAATAGCCGAGGGACATCCCTGCCAAAAAGTGGTCAAATGTAGTTAGAGGGCTCGCGGAAGTTTTCCCACATCATAGACAGAAAACAGCTTTGCATAGGATTTTGCAGTAACAAAAGTCTTAAATCGTGGCATAGGCTGCAATTTCAAGTTGTTATTTTAGAGAATTGGGGGAACAATAAGAAGCGGACAGTATTAGATACCTTATATGCGTGATATGTAAATCGAATTTGTTAATCCTGTATATGCATCACAAACACACGCACGCACGCAAACTTTGAAGGCTTATCTAATAAGCGTGATGTGTAGATAAAACGAATCCCCTAAAGTCGTATTATGCGCCACGCACACTGCTGGACACTTCCCAGAGCGAACCTAATAAGACTGCTCGAAGATGGATTCATGTGTTTAAAAAGAATGCAGTCATTTGTGAACTGTACGACCGCACTGGAGCCGACAAAGTAAGCGCGTAGCAGACGATAAACCTGATGCGGCGCTCATATCGCCACTTTTTGAATAATAACTGCGAAAAAAAAAATTATTGACCTAAACTCATATAACTGTTTTATTCAATTATACGAGCCTAATAAACGCTTTTTATTTAGCGTATGTTTAATGACGGTTCTGGCCTCCGGCAGTCTGGTAGCGAGAGAAGTCAAAACAAAATGGCCGCGCCCATGTGCTTCTACTTGCGCGTGGTTTAGTTGATCGTGTGAACGTAGTGTAAACGTGTGCTGGCGCCGTAAAGACATCTGTTACGTTTGCTCACGCGGAACCTTAAGCTCAGGTGTTGCAAATGACCGCACAAAACGCAAGGATGCCTAAGAAAAGAAAACGCAGCGAGACGGCGCAAAATGAAGAGGTGCCGAGCAAGAAGAACATGGATGCGGAGAACGATCTGGACGGCGGAGAGTCCGACGATGATGGATCCCCAGAAAAAAAGGCAAAGACGGAACCGGAGGAGCCTTTCTGCATCAAGAAATTTCTCGCCGTACTCGATAAAGGAGGCGATCTGATGACAGGTTTAGCGCTTGGTTGCTCAATATTAAGTGCCTGTTTTTGAAATCACGTTCGACCTATCTACTTGGTTCCCAACGTCTCGTGCTTTTTTGCTGTTATTCTACCTGCATTTCCCCGTGAAGCTTTATGTTGCACTCTTGTGTTGTGGAAGACCGAGTACCGCTTGCGTGTCACATGGATGTTACCATGGTAACGCTTAATTATGCGCGTCAGCCGAGTTTAAAAAGAGCTTTTCTTAATCCCGGTTGACGAATAGTTCAGGAAGACGTCCACTTGTTTACATTTGCCGTGTATGAACTGGCTGGAAGCATCGAAAAACGTTGCTAGCTGTCGCGTTCGCTTACTGGTTAGCGATTACTAGTTAGCGATTAGCTAACTGGTTACGAAAGTTGTCAGGCTCTCAGAAGTTTAAGACAGTGGAGGAGAACCCTTTGATGACCACAGCACGAACGCACGTGGAAAGTCCCAGCAACATGAATAGCACATGTATCGCTCCTTTGACCCTATCGCCTACCATATCCCCTGGCTTCTTTTACGTTCCTGTGTTTTCTGGGTGTGATCATGAAGCGATCTTCGGGTGGTGCTAAAGAACACTGCTTATAACCGACTATTACTTCTACTGTAATCAATATACATGAGTGCATATTTTTTGACCATCTATAAAGGCTGACAAACGTTGAAACTGCTCTCGCACACTAATCTTAAGTGGTTGGCAAATAACCTAAGATTGACACATCGAAGACTGTTCGAACAGTAATTTAGAAGCAGCACTAGACTGGTAAGGTTGTAATTTAAAAATAGCCTAAGAATTCCACGACACTTCGTATGAAATAAATATTTACATGCTTTAACAAATAACATTATACTTACATTTAACTGACAAAAATACCCTAATTATTTTAAATGAGGAAAGCTGTATGCAGCAGCAAGTGGAGCCATCAATATAACTTCTAACTACAGGCTGAAACATAGCAGTGACTACAATATTCAACGTTGTACATTGCCCGCAGATTTTAAATCAATTTCATGCAAAGATATTGAGGAAGTTTCACAAGTTGACATTATCGTTAATGTCATGGTAGTGGATTGATGACATTGCCCGTCACACTGAAGTTCTAAGCCAAACAGCCTTGGTCCAGTTTTCAATATAGTATCAATTGTTCCATAAGTACATGGGTGCATGCATTCGATGATGGAAAAAAGAAAAATTACCCCTCGCTTTTCCGATGTTCTGGCCATTTGAGCATTTTTTGGCATTTCTGATATGCACTGTTCAATTGGAATACTAAAATGAACAAAACACTATTTAATTCATTCTAAAATTTTGAATATTCACACACCCCTACTAATCCCCTTTCTGTTTACAGTTCTGATAATTTTGGTACTTCATTTAATGTTAGTATTTTAAGTTTGAATATTGCCACACAACTGACATTTACCACTTGCATGTTCAGAATTGCAGAAGTTTGTCGAAGCAGCTGACTCATTTGCAAGTGGAGAGAGCACAGAAGATGTCGTGAAACAATACCTTGATGCTGCTGATGGCAACTTCCAAAGCATTTCAGCACTTCTCTATGGTGTCAAAACGGGCTCACGTACGGTAAGTGTACAACTTTTTAAAGTCACGGAGAACTTGAATGTGGCTTAATCCTTTAGTGTGCAAATATTACTTCACTCTTTCATTTGCTGGCTTTGTTACTAGCAGGCCCAAAAGCAGATAGCATTATTCGGATCTTCCACACTTGCTGTCGCCCACTCACACCGATTCTCACATCTCAAAATTACCGTCACTGAATTGTGCTTGTTCTCATGCTAACTGGCACTTGCTGCTGTTCATTCTAAGCTTACCAGAGTGTTTTCCCATTCATACTCGCATCCACTCTTACCCTTCGTTAGGGTAAATGCATGCAGCTAGCCTGCGATAGGAGTATGAGTAAATATGAGTTTGCCTTCTCATTAGGGAGTAGGCCAGTGTATGCTTAGTTAGCATCGACACCATAAACCTGGTTTCTGAAGTGTTGCTCATTACTTTTTCTCTCATTCGTAGCACACACTGGTGTACCAGGCCCTGGAGCGCTTGGTTTCGCGGCTGCCAGAGGACTTCAAACAGTACGTCAACACCGCTTTGGTGTCGGCGCAGCAGATGCTGCAGAAGTACAATCGCCTCGTACACATGTCTCTGTGCCGCACTGCTAAGCCTAACCATGCGAAGGCTGCTCTTCGCCTGCTTACAGCGATTGTCACTCTGGGGCCCGAAGGAGCACGTTACGTCACCAGCATCATCAACTTTGAGAGTACAAATTTCATCATGTGGATCAACACCCGAAACCGTAGGGTACGTTTCTTGGTTGTGCTACTATGCTTGAGCTCAAGCATATTGTGAGGATGGGCTTCTAACTCTTTCGCTGTCATTGATGTACTGATACATTGTTATTTCCCCCCCTCCCGCCAACGCATCACTGACAAACCGGTGCATTAAAAAATACGAGCCAGAGTGCAAAGCAGGCATGTTTAGTGTGATTCTGATTTTTGCACCATCTTTCGAGTCCTTCTAGAAAAATGCATTTTTGTCCCTTGTGTTAGGGTGTATATTGAAGAGTACAGAGCAGGGCATGATTGCCCGCATGAACTGCTCTCTCAGGCTCAGCGACCATGTAGCTCGCATGCAATTAAAGGTTCAAGGGTTGTTCTGCCTCGGGTTTGCAGTTTTTTTGTTTTCCTTTATGTGCCGATGCCTTAGGAGTAGGTCGAAACATAACTTGATGGCCGCTTTTGCCCACTTGCTGTGTCTTCACTTGCTGCTGTCATCAGCAAACAAGATTGTTGTAGTTCCTTTCCATCCCTATCTCTTGTCTTGACTTCGCAACATCCCATTTCCCTGCATTTCTAGCTTGCCTGATATTCCCGAAACGAAGCGGACACTGGTGGTGCATTACGGTTAGAAACTCCCAACAGCGAGAGGGTTATTAACGTGTTATGTTACTGCAGTTACAGCTTGCTGCTTACTGGGCTGATTATAACCCCATCCAGAGCAATGGGCAGGACACACATAAGTCAGAAAAGGGATTGAAGCAGTTCGCTATTCTCTTTGAAGTATATATTTTTATTGTAGCACACATCACTGGCTTGATTCAGCCCCACAGCGTGCTATAATACTACAGAACATTTTCGTGCTAAATGTAACAGTATATGACTTTTAATTTAGCGAACAGGTATAACAAATTTTGTTAACTGAATTGCACGAAAACAATTTGAAGTACATAAGGAAGACACCTGGACACAGCGCACACTAACAACTGAAACTTTATTCGAGAAAACAGACATATATATGTGGTTACGAGAACTTGTTTTTGCGCAACTCAGTTAAGATGAATTAGCTGCTCATCCAGACTGTGCTTCTCAGGTATAACAAGTTGCCAAATCAATTGGCTTTTATTGAACTGTTGCCTTCTTGCAGCACGAAAGGGCTGAACAATGCTTTCAGTTTCAGAATAATGCTTTCAGAATAATGCTCTGGAATCGGCAAGTTTTCATGCACCTCTCTGGCTTCGTTTAAAGGGGCCCCACAACACTCTGTCAGCATCATCGGAAAATGCTGCCAACTGCTAATCGAGGCTCCAGAAGACAAGCGAGCCAAGCATTGTAACGCGGCATGCAGCCTTGAATTTGCCATTAATTCCCTAAGCCAACTGTGGGAAGAAACATGACAGTCTAATTCTTGTATTCATACATGTGTGACCACACTTCCTTCGTTTTTTCTTGAATAGGATGCCGAAGACGTGAGAACCTGTGCAGTATTTTTCCTCATGTCGGTTCTTGTCGTTGGAAGCAACTCAGTGGCACGCCAGGTGCTTCAGGTCAAAGGTGAGAAATCAAATTTTCAGCATGAGTCCTTGGCACTCATGTTACACGCAGTAGCGTACATGTAGATACTGTTAGGCTCAAGAAGTTTGCCACATTATTGTTCGAAAATGCCGAATTTCACTCTGATATAGGCATGCCCTAAAAAACTGGTTAGTCAAAACTAATATTAGTGTTGAAATAAAGTATGGTATTTAATGTTGTGTCATAAACGGCATTCAATAGTTTGCACTTGGTATCCATGCCTAACACCTTGTTTATGATGCCTAACAAACTATCCTTTCAGGACCAACATTCGTTAATGCTTGTTGATGTTTCACAATGCTATGTTTATAGCTTTACAAGCCTGTTGCAGTGTTGTGGATCTCAGGATGATGGTAATGTGCTCTCTAGTTAGCTTTATTTGAGACTGTAACAACTCCTTGTTACTTTAAGGCATAAGTACAACATTCTAGTTAAGCTGGCGTTCATGGCAGAAGTTGTGTCTTCAATGTGTATCGAAGCAGAGGCCCAAAAGTGTAATTTGGAGTGTTTAGAGATCCTCTAGAAGGATCCACAAACACTGTGGCCCATTGCTGTGAATACAGATTAGATGGATAACAACAATTGTAGAGAGGAAGAATCACAATGATTGATACATTCAGCAGTCCTCCTTTAGTCTTTTATGTTCTGTTTCTAGCTGCTTCATTCATTGTGAATGTTAAATTCCAGGATTGATAAACAGCATATTTCCTGGTCTACTGTACGACCGCGCATCATTCATATGCAGCTTTCTGTCAACATTTCAGGCTAAGGTAAGTGGACACAATTATTTTCAAACAATGCCTTCATGTCGGAGATTTATGCTGTGCATAGTTAACTGTTCATGCTGAATGCAGAAATATGAGCCGAGAGCATATGTTATGGCCTATATTGTTGTTCAGTAGCAGTTAACCATTTATTATTATTAGTGTTTCTTTTTGTCCAAATAAGTGTAAGTACGTTTGCAGGCACATGCAAAATTGATAAGTTCAGAGTCATAGCATCATAGCCTAAATATAGAAGAAAAAGAAAAGCTCACTTGTACAAACTTAGTGGTTTATTTGCAGTAAAGAATAGGATTGAGTTGACATTTACATCACTTGCAGTGGCATTGTAGCTAAGTCTTTTTGAAGCTGGTATCTAATGCCCTGTACATACACTAACTTTCTACAGGGCTTACAAAGCGAGTTTCATGCATAAACTTAAGTTCTTTGCAGGTCTAAGTTCGTTGTTAGATATTTTGTTCCAAGAATATGCATCTAACAGGTTTTCACACTTCGTGCCACTTTCCAAGGTTGTGGAGACCACCTCTTTTACCAAGACCATAAAGTTGAAAATGTTGAATGACAAGTCCCTGAAGTATGTCACCCAATTGCTCAGCTGGGAAGGGCCAAAGCCATGGTCGATCCACGGTAAATGGAACAAGTTTAAGGCCATACGAGGTACCGAAAAAGAAGATCCTGAAGCAGTGCTGGTAAGTGCCGCTCTTGCGCAGTGTTTGGCTCAGTTTGTATTATTGGCTGCAGCTATTCCCATTACGTATGCTATTGTGTATCTTTTTTAAGTCGGCATGCAACTGAGTTAAATTGGAGGCTATTGCACTGACTTTCTGGAGCTCGTACAACATTGGGAAGAGCATTTGCATATCATTACTTTGTTGTGTTGTGTGGCTTCTACAACACTGTGTATAATATTTGGGTCATTTTCAAGTGAACGCTCTCTGAAGGAAACAATCATAAATTACTATTTTAGGTGACAAACTTTGCAAAATGCCATGAGCAAAGTTTGGAATGGCCTCTGGTGTGATGTTCAAGCTTGAAAAGTGACTGTGATCAGATAAATTTTTAATTTTTTGTATTTCAGTGGAGAAATGCTTTATCGCAATACAGATGATAACAGTGAATTAAGGGGTGATGGGATTCAAAAAGAAAGTTGCACTAATCTGTAGCCTAGGGCAATAACATTCTTGCTGTATATATAGACTTTTATGCTGATTTCAAATGTATAATTAGTTTTATAGTAAGTTACAGAATTTTCATGTTGTGCCATGGCAATGTATAGAGTATAGTTCGTTTTGGACAAATATTTTGCTCCACTAAACTTTTATGGTTCTGAGCCATTAATGGCTCGTATTGCTTCACACTCACTGTAGAATGCCAATAACTACCAAGAAAGTGCATATAAGACATTTTAATGGACAAGAAAAATTGTAATGTGAGAATTCTTGGAATCTTCAATTCATACTAATTGCTTACTTTCGGTTTGTGAGAACTATCCAGGCGATATCAAGTTCTTAAGGAGGTACTTGCATCCTTCACATGCTAAGGAATACCTGTGTGGGTGAAATTTAATCTTGATCGGGTTATAAGAAAAGACCGAAAATAAGATGTCCAAATTCAAGAAGTTGCCAAAAAATGGAACTTGAGCAAAAACTCATTTTGCAGGTATATTAGTGAAAGCTCGTCTATAAGGAAAAGATATGTTCTTTAAGATGATTTCTTTCGTCATGAGGGCTTGGCAGTCACGGTTATTTTGAGCAAACGGCTTTAGTGAACTCCTCGGGCAAAATGCAATGGCAAGCAGCCAGGCGACAATTTCAAGGGGGCTCTAGACAATGAGCTCTTTTTAGTTTTGAGTAGCCACCTTGTGTTTTTTAAAAGCGATTTTAACCTACTTCTAGTTTAATTACGATTTTCAGTATTTTTTGTCGTGAAAGTAGAAAAACAAAACTTGTGAAAGCAAATAAAAATGAGAAATATGTAAATATGAAAAAAAAAACTTGTCTTTTTCGTCTCGCATCTTTCCTTAATTATCCTAACTGTTTGCAATTGTTAAACAGGCCAAAAAATAGCTCTAATACTCTCTGCGCCTGCTCTGTGCTCTAGATAAAATATTTAAAAATTTTATACTGGTAGTCAGAATGCTTGCCCGAAAGGGCCAAGCTGAACGGCGTTGAATTTGGCCGACTTATTGTACTTCAGCCTTGGGACAAATGGAAGGTATAAGCAGTGTTGTTTGAGGATGGCTTCTATAGTTCCCTTGTTTAGAGATTGTCAAGTACTTCACATGAATGCGGCAAGACTATTGTACGTTTCATTTTTGTCTTTCTGTTCAGGAAGCATCTAAAGAAGATGTGGAGTTGGTCCAGAGCACTGCGTACAATTTCCTGACTGCCGTGTGCTGCTCACACAAATATGGCATACTGTTTCGTGACCCTAAAATGGGACAGTCGAGGCAGTGAGTAAAAAAGTGTTGAGTGTTTTCCTGTTCTGACTGCTAGGGGTACTTAGTTTGAGACCCTTTAAAGGTAATATGTTACAGTTTGCCTATATATTACATAGTGGTAATCTCTCGTCCAGAACTAGATGTATAGTCCTGCACATGTTGACGGCCATGTTTTCCAAAGGCAGGGTCAAAGGCCGTGTGGTTCATGGCTTCAGTAAAGAGGGCAAAGCCATTGGTACGGACTTACGTGCATCTGTCCTTGAGATAGAAATGTTGCTGCGTTACATTGTGATAGCCAACTATAGGTGCAGAAAATAAGAAGAGATTCTACATCACAATGTTATGAGTAGTTGACAATGAAACTAGTTGCAAGTACTGGTGTATATTTATGATACACTTCTATAAGATTAGCAAGTTGTAATGCATGAAGAGTGGCCAAAATGAAAATTAGAAGCACTTCGCGTCCATTCTACCTGCATGTTTGGCAAGTGGTTGAGAATGGTTTGGTGAGATCTGAGTTGCAGTGAACAACATTTTAGCGCGCTGTTGATGTCACTTGGTATTTTTTTTTACCAGGAACATGAACTTTGTGATCACTTCCATTTTGCTGAAGATGGAGCACCCGTACGAGCACGAACGATGTTCTTCCTTTGTCGTGGAATTGCTGAAGGTGGCCCCCGATCAGATCGGTCACTACCTTCATGGCTGGAAGCCCATTTTGACGTTCGCCACAGCTGCCACAGCTGAGAAGCTCATCAAGCTCTACACTCGAGTAAGGCAGAGGCCGAGGTGATCTTGTTCCGTAGCCATTGCGTTTTTCGTCTGTGTAACTGTCGTATGGCTTTAAATTTATTTGGACAACACAAGAGAAAAACGTTATAGAGGAGCTTGATGTAAGAGCAGGGTTCCCACTGCATTGGATTCTATGGGGTTTATGTTGGGACTGGCTGAAGACAATGTATCAGCCAGGAGAGTGCAATATAAGGGAATGTAATAGCAGTGTTCCTCTGCGTTTATTCGATTCATGTTCAGTTTCATTTAAAAATTTTCTTTTCACCCTCTTTGTAGAACTTTAGCAGACTCGTGCAAAAAAAGCTTAGATGTACAATATGTCACACCATTTAGTGATGCTCGTTAATCAATTAGAATGTTTCTGAGCAAGCTTGTAGTCCCCCTCTATCTTTCATATTTTGGGAAACCTAAACTTTTTAAAACTGTTAATCAATCCTGGATCGGGGTTTGCCATAGCAAACCTTTGAAAAAGATTGCTATAGAATTTGCAACAAACTGTTTAGAGTGAAATGATGCTTCTTACAATTTTCAGCAATGCTTTCCTAAATGTTTCATATCAAAAAGCCTGTTGAGAATGCAAACGAGGTGCTTTTTGGCTGTGGAAGCTTCTCTCTTCTTTTTCTGTTCGTTTGGCTAGAGAAGCTACAAATTCAATGTCATAACTCGTGACGGCTGAAGTGAGTGCACGTGATGTTCCACTATGTGCAGGTTGTGGAAGTTCAAGACCTGGATTCTACATTGTGGGCAATGGCTGAAAATGTCCCAGAGAAAGTCTGCAGGCTTATTCTGTATTTTTCTCTTCTGAGCATTGCCAAAAGCGTCGCTGAAGCTCGAAGTTTTCAGGTAATGCTAGCATGCACACATTAAAACCAATATCTGGCGAGAATGCAATGCAGAGAGCTTCATCTACAATAGTGTAATCATAAGGCAAATGTAGCAGGCTGGTCTATCAATATTCTGGTAGCGATAGATTACTTTTTTTTGCATGCTTTTGTATGTAGAGATGCTAGCACAAGCTCATTTTCCAAGTTACTGACTTTTGCTTTACACCATCAATTATATGGTTTTTTGATGAAACATTTGTGGCGTGTATAAACTAATGTTTTCATAGCACCATTGTAGAGTTGGCAGAAATTTAAAAATATTAATTAAATGAAACACAAGTTTTTTAGTGTTGGCACTTCTTTGCGATCAGGGATCAAGGGTGGTTTTGTACAGAAATATTTTGACTGACATTCAGGTTTTGCCATCCTAATTCGATCTAATTCTTCACATCTTCCTTTTTTCACCAGACGGAGGAGAATAACGTCCAACTGAGGCTTGCGCACATGCGTTTTGTGGCCGCGTCGCTACGAAAAGTCCAAAGCGCTCTTCACCATGCTGAAAGTGCAAAGTCATCTGTGAGCGCAGGAATGAAGGCAAAGCTGCGCCGTATACTGTGCCAGGACGTCTGGAAAGTGAGTGACAAATGACTACTATCTGTTTGTCTGAGATTTTACATATCAGCAAAAGTGGGTAACCATGGTGATCAATTTTTAGTGCTCTTTTATAATTTCACTGTGCATAAATTTCATTATTCATCGGATGTGATGTCAGTCTTGCTACACAAGTTGCTTTGTCCAACCTAGTCTAATTGTTGGGTGATGTGCACTGGCTTTTTTAGTGCTATGCTTACCCTAGAGGAAACAAAGTCACTTACGAGTACTCGTAGTAGCATTGGCTGTTTTGTTTAGCTCTAACATAGTAGAATATTGTGATGTTATGTGAACTACTGATCATTGTTTACTATCACTGTCAGGACTTTGCTACCACTTGTGTAGTTTTAACTGACAAAGACGCATGTTGTAGAATATTCACAGCATAGAGTGCTCAATAAGCTCACTATGCATATATAACTACAGAAAATGCTAGGCAAAGGAACATTGTGGTGTATAGTATATGTGTGCCTGGCTTTATTTCTCTTTTTACTCAGAATGTGCCACCTACAGCAGACCTTGTCAAGGAGTACTGCAATGTGGTGACAAAAGCTACGTCAAAAGAGCCACAGACCGAAGGCCCATGTGAGATTTTGCAATGCCCGTGTATCTTGATTCTTGAGGGCTTTATAATTTAGTGTCGTCGGTTAGTTAAGATTCAAACAAAGCAGGTGATGTGTAAAGACTCGCCAAGCACTGGCTCTTAACAGTACCCCACTTCAAGAAAAGCATGCTCGTGGCACATTGCTCACAGATACGTTTTTAAAACGTACTCACCAAATGCAATATTATTCACATATTTTGTTGTGACACCCTGCTTGAGCGTTACAGCATCAAGATTCTGCAGTTGTAGTGGTGCAGTGGTGTGGTGAAATTGATATCCTTTATTTTTATGAAAGGTTGTGTGGCTGCACCAAGGGTTCTGACTTATTTTAGTTGGCTGTAAAATCTTTTTCGGAACTTGATTCATTCCTTATAATGCCTCAGTGTGGTTATATGCCTTTCATTTACCGCCCTGACCGAAAGAAGTCTCGTTCACTGCATGTTGTAGTTTCTGAGTGAAAATTCCTACAGCTCAGGCTGTGTTTTTTTCTCGAAAGTGTAGCTAAAGGATGAACTAGCTGTGCATGTATTTCATGGTACACTTCATATTTTTCTTACTTTACAAAAGTTTCACTGTAAGAAAGGCATTGTTGACTTGACAGACATGCACTTTTGGTTTATTGCAGCTCTGTCTGACTGTTCTGCGTACTGCGCGAGCATTTTGGATGTGCTAGACTTGTATAGACCGTTTTCCCGAGACCACCATGCCGAGTACGACTGGAAGGTTCTGTGCCAGCTTGCGGGTGTTGAGACGGATTCACTTGATACCCATGCCGAGGACCAGTGCCTGCAACTGAGGGCCATCGGTCTCGTGCTCGAAGCCTGCCCGGCTTCCGAAGCCCTCATGACCAGTGTAAGCAGCTTCCTGCGTTTCGTTGTGTGCCACATGTTCATTGTTTTTTTTTTATTTTCGCGCTTACTTTTTTGACATGACCACATGTTGACGTATATTATATATTATATAATTTTTGTATGTTAGGCCAGCCATGGTTGTCTAGTGGCTAAGGTACTCGACTGCTGACCCGTAGGTTGTGTGATCGAATCCCGGCTGCGGCAGCATTTTCGATGGAGGCGAAAATGTTGAAGGTCCGTGTGCTCAGTTTTGGATGCACGTTAAAGAACTCCAGGGGGTCGAAATTTCCGGAGCCCTCCACTACGGTGTCTCTCATAATCATATAGTGGTTTTGGGACGTTAAACCCCACATATCATCAATTTTTGTGTATTACATCGTTTTTCAAATGTAGGTCATCATATAGAACTCTCGAAGAGTGCAATGAATTAAAGAAGGGAAACCGATCAAGGTGCTTACTTTTTTTAGACAAATTCTGATGGAGCCACCAGATAATGAAGCAGTAAGAAAGCGCAAGGCAGGTGTTGTGCCAGGGGGAGCAGGGCGGTAGCAAGAAGCCTCTATCCCAAATTTTCCGCTGCTCCCCTCCTTTGGCTCTCCCTAGAGTGTAAAATGCAGTAAAAACACAAAGCACAATTTCCGACCTACCTGCCCCCCCACTGTCCCCAAAGGAACTTGCTTTTCGTAGAGAACCCCTGAAACCAGAGGTCTTGTTCATAATATGTTTGCTGAAGGGCAGTGCTAATTAATTATGCTGGAAGTCAGCGCATGTGTTGTATTGTCTCTTATGTGTACCGTTTCTGTGCTGGTCTGCGATAACTATAATAATTATGAGTTGAAGAAAATTGGAATCTGACAAAAAGACATCTTGTCGTTTGTGGGAAGTAAACCCTACAATTTTCATATGGTGCATGTAATACACTGAAACCTCAATATAACAAAGTTGCATGTTACACAAAAATAAGTTAATTATATCGAAAAATTTGTTATATATGTCTATTCCTAACACTATATCTATTGCAAGGCTTCTTTATTTACTTCGTTATAACCAGTATTTCGTTATATCCGGGTTCACCATAATGAGGTTTCAGTATAGAACAGCAGTCATGTTCATGTCGGCCGACAGCCTTGGAGAGAATGGGTTTGTTACTTTCACATGATGGCACGAAGCCTAAGCTGCTTCTTATTCTTGCGTTATAAGTCATTGCTTTCTATCTTTGCTTTCATCCTTTGTTTTTTACTTGGCTACAACTCAAATAGCATCGTCACGAACATTCTTCTGTGGATGTATTTGCATATTGCAGGATGCTGAGCAGAAGTCACCGTTCTGCCACCTCCTTGAGCTGTTTGCCCGTCGTAAGGAGGGTGTCATTGGAAAATCTGCGGCATCACTCATCTCAAAGGTACTGTGACATTATCGTTTGTTATCTTGTCGTTATACTCTATATTCGTTACCTTGTCGAAGACTCAACTTTTCATTTTCAGTTGACATGCTTGGGGGCAGCAGTCTGAGAAAGGCATCAATATTGACCTCCTTCTGATTTCCAAAAGGTTTTGCTTATAAGTGTGCTTTCAGTGCTGCTTTCTGAAGGTGAAAACTGCAAATTTATTTCCCTTTGTAGGTGACCAAACTGTTGCGGTGATAACCTAATGCAGCTGCTACAGAAATTGGTAATATTCCCATGAAGTGATAGAACACATTGATGCAACCTTGTGTGCCTGTAAAATCTTCTCCCAACAATTAGGTAGATTTCAGCTATATTCTTTAAATACAGCAAACTTCACCCAAGTATGTTTGTTTGATACCTACAGAAGTGTGCCCCTTTGCCATAATTTAGACTGCAGCTCCTTGGGCAAAGCTTCTTAGTAATTTTAGTAAAGCTTCTAAGCAATTGGTATGCTGACTTAAGTTATTGCCACCTGTGAAGCCCTTTATTGGAGACTCACCATAGAGCAGTTCTTGTCTTCTATGCAGGGGTGTGCCAAAACTACGAAAATTGTTGGAATTACAATATGCTGCCTCTTACTGGCCAACCAGCCTAAATTTTTCTCATTTACGATAACTTTAGTGAGAAATAGTAGCCACATTGGCCATCTGCTGTTTTAAACTTGAACATCTAATGCAACCCAGATGTGCTGGAAAGTTGTAGGAGTGCTTTATGTTTGACGCCCGTAAACTTATTTTTTCAGCAGCTGGTTGCAATGCTGCTCGATACGCACATTTGAAAATTAAAAGAAAAGCTCCTCATAAAGAAATGTCTACAGCGGGCCGCTGTTGTATTTGATGGAAATATTAGCCGTTCAACCTGCCAGCCAGCTGTCTCAATTTGCCCAAGAGACTCTCGAATTTCGAGTGATCATTCCAATTGCACAGGAACAGCCATAATTATCTCGATAAAGAGACCTAACACTGCCGTGCCAAAAAAAACAGAGATTCTAAAATTTTCTCATCTTGCCCTATCGCGGGTAGAATGCTTTTCATTTTTTTCTATTTCACGGCAGTGTATTTGTTGTCTTGCGAAAAATCAAATGGAGATCGGGAAGGGGTTACTATCATGAGCTGTCACAGGAAACAGCACGTTTTCTTCCTTAATTAAACATGTGTGCATGGCTTACATAATTACATGTACTAGTAGTGTGATTGCTGACACCTAAAAAAAATACTACTGCCAATCATTGAGAGCTGCGTGTGGCATTTCTGCAGCCGAAAAATGTATGCCGGTTTCCTTTTTTTCACCACCCCTACTCACCCCGACTCTATAAATCTTCCGAATTTTGAGGTTGCCAGCTTGGCAGGCCCGCAGTAGCATTTGCCACGGTTGCATTTGTCTGTCAAATGATTTGACAGGCAATGCAAATGCCAACGCCTGCTTCATTGTTTGCAGTGTAAGATGAGTCACTGCCTTCGGTGAAGTAGCAGACCTTACTTGCACTCTGCACAAGTTAGCTGATGTTGAATAGTTAGCCATCTTTTCGTTATCGGCTCTAAATGTGAGCGTTCTTCATGTTACTGCTCCAGATTTTAGATTTGGGGCTTACAAAAAAAAAAAAAAAGAAAGAAAAATCTTTCTTTTCCATAACCTTCTACAAATTAAGATTTTTCCTGCTCCAAAAGCAGCATTTTTTTTATCCAAAAGTTGCTTCAAATCCTATTTTTGCATTTGCACCCCTGTTTTAATGTAGGCACGATGGTGTTTTTTATACCCAATTGACTATTACATCTGTGTCTCTTGTAAAAGCATTCAACTATGTTATGTTTCTCTGTCCACTCTAAGTTAGAATGTAGGCGTGTTGTTTTCACTGGTGTGTAATTATTTGGAACTATATTTATTCTCGATCTATGCTTTGCATCTGCTTTCTCTGTGTGAAGTATGAGTGAGATGCTACTGATGCATCTGGCTTTTCATGGGCGCCTTGCAAAATGATTTGAGTCATAAAATTGAGCTTGATTGCTTATCAGGGTCAGCAGTCATACAAAATTAATGCTATCTTTCCATCCTTTTACCAGCTTCTCTGCAACCTGAACGTTTTGGAGGGATACAGCATGGAAGTCGACATCTGGATGGAGAAATTCAGGCTGGGACAGTGCTTGAATTTGGTGCAACTGCTTCTGTCTGCTATCCAGCTAGTTGTCAAAGATTCGAACCGCCTGAACTCAGAGGTCATGCGCAATGTCATGTATCTGACAACTGCAGATGGTGGACAGTCTGCTATGGACCTTTGGAGTGAGTAGGCTAGGTCTATCATTGTGTTTTTTCTGTGAATGTTCGATTGTATCCAAAGCTAGATTGTAGCCAGATTGCAGTCGCCAGATTGTAGCAAAAGCTAGAAGGAAATTCGTACCAATGCAGTTCCTTGTGGCTTCGGCCACAATCTAGTGGCTGTCGGTTATTCCTTCCGTAACCCTTCCACCATCTTGATGATGTTATGATATCGACACATGCATCATGTCATGACATTGTGTCATGTCATATAATAAACTTTGGTCTAGTAACGGAATCAGTAGCTTTCTTTTTCTTTTTTGGAGGACTTCACGTCCCAAAACCACCATATGATTATGAGAGAGGCTGTAGTGAAGGGTTCTGGAAATTTTGACCACCTAGGGTTCTTTAACGTGCACCTAAATCTAAGCATACAGGCCTCAAGAATTTCTGCCTCCATTGAAAATGCAGCGGCTGCTGCCAGGGATTTGATCCTGTGACCTGCGGGTCGGCAGCCGTGTGCGTTAGCTATTAGACTACCGCAGTGGATCATCAATATATAGTTGCCACACCCATACACGTCATGCTTTCGCATTCAATGTGGGCGTCTTTGTAACTATTGTGCTCGCTGCATTAAAAAAAAAAGAAATGAATGGCATTAAATTACTTGATAACCTCGTGATATATAGTTACTTTCACAACTTTTTTTTCACAGGCCTACTCGAACAAAGTTTGGGTACTGCAGAGAATGCGAAAGGGATGGAGTCCTTTGGAGTCTGGTAAGCAGCTTTTCCTGTCAGTGCCTATGTTCTTTCGTCGGTGTACTTTTTCATCAGCAATTCTTCACTCCTCCTTCTCGGAACTATAGATAGTAAAAGGTTTCTTTTTTAGCAAAGGGATGTTGTGTTAGGTTTAGTTTACTGTTTAAGAGCAAAGAAAAACTACATTGAATTCTGAAAGAACCAGTTTCAACAGAGCATTCACTGAGACCTTCGTGTGGGCAAAATGGCCTAAATATAAGCTGCTAGTGCTTTAAAAATTCATTAAGTTAATATATCATGTGTGATGCTTGCAATCAATTTAAGGATTTCTCTGTATTTGAGCCATTTTCTTTTGTTTTAGTTTACTGCGAAATAATGTGAAATATAAAGAATATATAAAAATGCCTAGAGGTTTGTTGAAACTTTAGCGCTCTCTTAGTTCCTGAATTGAATTAAAGCAAAATAAAAAATGAACAATTTTATAATTTCACATCAACTAGCATGTGCTAGTTGATTACCAAATGCTCACACGTTATCAATTCAGACCTTGGAACACAGGTGCAAATGCGAATGTGTAATTTTTTTACTACACAAGGTCATCCTCACAATATCCACATCCACTATTCAGGCACCCTATTCTTCTATACCCACAAAAGCACGTGTTGCTAGACTACCACACAGACTAGACGTTATTCTTTTCAGGACACATGTTGACTGTTTTAAATTTTCCTTTTTTTCGTTGACTATTGAAATCTTGAACAGCTTGGACAGCTCACTTTGCGCATTGGCTCATGAAGAACTTGTTGAGAAACTACCTTATCCTATCATGTTTTAATCTGTTTCATATAATTATTAGTCGGTTGTCTTTTTTTTCTATTAACCTTTGCATTTTGAATCTTTAACAACTAAATGAACAGTGTCACGGTAGATGCATAGGCATGAAAACGGTTAGGTTAGTGCATACGACGTTCCACGGCCTTATTACAGTAGACTCTCAGTAAATGGAAATCTGTTAAACGGAACTACTGCTTAAACGGAACTATTGCCTTTGCAAAGCTTGGTTTCAGGCTTGTATTCTGCACCCATATTCACCTCTCAGTAAACGAAACTCTTGTTAAATGCAACGCACTTTTACGTTTTTATCAGGTTTCGTTTACTGAGAGTCTACTGCATATACTTCTCAAGATAAAAAAAAAACAACAACAAGGAAACGTTGACTTAGCACCCCAAGATGTTGGCCCCCATATGCCTTAGGTAAAATAGTCTGTACTCGCTCATGATAATGAGTCTATTGAACATTCATGTAAGCGTATCTTATTTTCATCCACAAGGTTAAAACACACTAGCGCCATCTGCTAAGTCGTCCATTAACTAGGTGGTCACAAACTGGTCACAGTAGAAGGACAAACCCACACCTTTAGGAGCTTCGCCCCTAATAAATAAATGCTTCTAAAGCTCCCGTTTTTTACTTCTTCCAGCACATACTTCAGTCCCCTGGTTCCAGCTGCTATGGAGTGTATAAAAGACTCTACCGATACAGGTGAGTCGCTTAGACCTATTGTGTGCATTGGTGCTTCATTTTCTGATAAATTCAATGCTAAGTGCAACGTGCCTATTTCATGGATATCTTACCATCTGTAGGAGAGAAAGTTGACTTAACATGTTATACAAGTGGAAACGGCTGTTTGAAGAACTTCAAAAAGTCTTCTTTCTTTTTAGGGGTCAAATTTTTTCACCATGTGTCACCTGTCAGGGTTTACCATTTTTATTGCTCTTTACTTAAATTATTGCTCATATATATATATATATATATATATATACATACATACATACATACATACACATATATATATATAGTCCAGTAGATCCTCCGTGAGCGGTCACAACGTGGTTTATTTCGACGTTTCGGCCTAGAGTCTGGCCTTCATCAGGATTAAAGGTACAGTTTGTTGGTGCTCAGCTTTATACAATCTCAAATCAGAGGGAAAGGAAAGAGGAAAAAGACAGAAAAAAAAAGAAAAGAATATAAGGTGGACTCCCCTCGGGTGCCCCCCCTCCGCTCTTCCTTCCACTTCCCCCTTCATCTCTCTCCCCTTCACCTTTCTGATGTCAGCGGTCTGTGTATGCTTCCTTTCACTAACGCGTTCTTCCCGACCAGACGGCGCCTCCTGGCACTGGCGGTTCGGTGTGGGTAAGGCCCTTGTATTTTTCAAAGGTAGCGCAAACTCCCTTCCCCGCATCGTTTCCTCCTCGCCCGCCACTCTCAGCCGCCATGAAGGAGCGACTCACGCGGAGCGCGCCGCCGGACGGTTTCGTTTTGTTGCACGGCGCGTTGAAGTAAGGCCCCTAGGGGCCTTACGTTGAAGTGCTTGCTTAAAACGCGCCAATTCTTGGCGTAAATGCACAACGGTGCTCGCAAATACTGTGTAAGAACAACAGTGTGCGATCAGCCAGTGCCTTAGCTATCATCTCGCGTTCTGAGGGGAACCAAATGTACTAAATGCCGCCCTATCGCAATCTGCCTTTGCAGTACTCATCGTCGATTTAATCTGGGGCCTGCTTCACAAGATAGAAAAATCTGGCCTTTGTGTAATTTTTCTTGGGTTTATAATCTGCCTTTGCACTACTCATGGTCGATTTAATCTGTTGCCTGCTTTATAAGATAGAAAAATCTGGTCTTCGTGTAATTTTTCTTGGGTTTATAAGTGTGGAACAGCCCCTCAAAAGTTAATATGAGTGCTCTTAGAGCTCGAGTTTGTACAGGAACAACAGAGCCTTACTGAAATTTGGGACATGCATGCTGCTTCCATAATGGAACGTGTGTAAATGATTCATCCATAAAATACCACAAATGTTTAGTGGGATGAAGGTAGATTTTATTGAGTGCGCAAATAAAATGCGGGAAGCATCGAATGATCACGAACGCTGCAAAACATTCCAGTAGAGCGACGGCAGGGCGAAACAATTTCGCTATCAAATCAGATAGCCTCTACAGCATGCGAAGGAAAGAGAAAAAAACTTAATCCGGAGCCCTCCACTACGGCGCGCCTCATCGCCCTTCTTTGCGTCGGCTCGTTAAACCTCGCACTCACTGAATCAGAGAAGAAAACACCCGCTTTGAACGTAGGTGACACAGCCGGGCGTGGCTAAACACTAACAATACAAGAGGTGTTGTTCGCAGACGTATACAAATACACGATAAAATATTGAAACAATCATTGCGCACTTATAAGTAGAGGAACCTTTTCAATCACAGACATGCACATCATTGCATCGTGTATACAAGAAATAGGCAAAGCATAAACAAAACCATTGCACACTTGTAACGGTATCTCTCATTAAAACATTCAAGTCAAGTGACAAAGGGGTGAAACACTCTCATTAAATCAGATAGCCTGTAAGGCATACAAAAAAAACAGAACAAAACTCGCCATCTGAACACAGATCAGACAACCGAGAGTGGCGCCCGGACGTAAAGAAAACACAAAATGCACTGGTTCGCAGCAATACACAAATATATCATAAAATATTGAAACCCTCATTGCACACTTTTAAGTAAAGGAACCCTTGTTTTTAATCGCAGGTATACACATAAGGCACTGAAGTAAAATATACATTGGACATATTAAGTATGTACAAGCACTAGGCAAAAGCATAAATAAAGCTCATTCACATTTGTAAAGAAACCTTGTTTTTCGATCACAAAATACACATAAGGTACCGAAGTCTACTAATGTGACATTTATAAGTGTGTACAGGAAATAGGCAAAAACATAAACAAAACTAGTGCACGTTTTTAACGGCATCTCTCATTGAAACACTCTTGCTGCCCGACTTTTTCGAAGCCAGTCGCTTCCTCTTCGCTTCAGCATTGGACTTCTTTACTAATATCTGCGTCCTTGTTCGCAAAAACAACTGTACAATCTTCTTGGGCAGTTCATGGCATGGCGAGAAAGAATTGGCTGTGAACAAAGAAGCTATTATTTTTTCCTGCAATGCTGGTACACTGACTTTGTTTGTGAGAAGGTCCACTTCATTTTTTCTGACGTAAGCCTCTGCAAACTCAACAACCTGCAACACTGCCGCTGATGGAATAGCCAGCGTCATTTTGTGTTTGGTGAAGCTTTTTAACTGCTGAAGCCTGCAAGCATTACTGCTGTCAGACAGTGCAGCTTGACATTCTTGGCAGGGCAAACCATTCTTGACTCCCCTCACAACATACCCAGCGAGGTATGTCAATGACTCCTGCTCTAGAATTTCCAGATCCAGCATGTCGTCAGGAGTGTGAACGGAATCTACTCCGTCATGTTGGTGTTTCCCACTGTTGATTCCGGCAAGCATGAAGCCATCAGCATCAGAATAACTTCCGTCCTTACTCGGTCGCAAAAACAAAGACAGAGTGGCAATCTTCAAGGCGCTCCGAAATTCCAATCCCCCTGGGACAGGATTTTTTGCTCTCAAGGTTGGAAAACAGGTTTTCAATAGCGTCAGTGCTGAAGCGGCTCAACAAGAGATAGACAAACCCCAAGTCATTCAAAAACAGCTCCTGCACATGCAACATAGTTGTAGTCGTCATCACTATGCCCGTTTGAATAGGCTTCCAACATTTTTTGGCATCAGTTCCGATTTCGATTTTTTTAAAAAGGTCAATCATGCCTTTTAAAAACGTGACGGTCTCCTTGTACCGCTGTTCATCGAAGTGGCTGATGGCAAGCTTTGTCGTTCTTGAGGACATTAATTTAAACCATTTAAACACCGTCTCAACAAACCACGCTGTGGTTAAGGCATCTGTGTTATTAATTTCGTCGTCCTTTGCTTCTACAAGCATGCGCAGTGCAGCCGCTGTGTCGTTGTTAAACAAACTGAAAGCAAATCCCACTTTCATCTTTTCAAAATGTCCTGGTTGCACGCATGCTTCCTTAAAATGGGGTGCCAGTTTAAGGTCTGCCTTGGCATCAACCTCTACAACCTGCTTAATTGGCTGGACTGACACGGTGCGGCCGGGAAGTTTTAGCTTTTTGGCAAGGTCTTCTGTCAGCGTAATCTCTTGTCCTTGAGTTAGGTGATTACGCAAATTTTTTAGCAAGTGTGGCACATCTGGCGTAAAAAAAAGCTTTCCTGCTAGGGTCACACGGGTGAGCACATGAAACTTTCGGCTTGCTGTGCTTTCCAACTACAATTCCGAACAACTTCCAAAGAGACTGGTTGCCTCCCGCCATGTCCGTCACAACAACATGCAAACGGATTCCAACTTTTTCGCACTCTGTGATAACGTTCACAATGATCTGCTTCATTGTCTTTGCGTGAAAGGAATTGCCTGTGAGGTGGTATGCTACAACCTGTTTTCACCGGGTGCTGACCCCACCAAGCATGAACACAATTGCATGTGTTGCAAGGCATCCATCAGGCAATGTACCGTCGGCTAGAGGTACCGTTGGTGCTCCAAATACTGTTCCAGAGGACGCGTCATATGCCAGGCCAGGTGTTAGCTGTATCTCATCTATCATCAAGGTTGCATGCCGTTCCTTTGGATCCATTTGCCCAACCTACAAAAAAGCAGGTGTTAACCAAAAACAGCTTCAAACTAGTGCAAATTAAATGTGCCAACAAATAAGAAGATTTGGGGATTGCAAGAAATAAAGCATACCTTTAAAGCAAATGCCGGCATCAAGTCATGAAGCAAACCAGGCTTTAACTTGTAACTTTGGAGATGGTGCTGCAACGTGCGGTCTGCTGGAAGAGGCTGTCCTGTTTCCCTCACAAGTTTATAGCCCCGTTTTCCACAGGTTAATCTAAGTTGCAGTCCTTTTCTTAGAGTTTTTTCTGTCCATGGTGTGCCTCTCGTTGTCTTTTTTTTAAGCCTCCGCATCTGATCTGCGTTCAAAAACTCGTTCAGTCCAGACTCTAGTGTCTTCATTTCAAGAGCTGCCTGGTTTTTTTTACGGTTAGCAAGTAACCGCTGCTGCTCCTTAGCTTGTAGCTGCAGCTCCAGTTCTTTTATTCGCATCCTTAGTGCTTCTTCCACTGAAGGTTCAAGGGGTGCTTCTAAATGTTGGCTTGCCTCCATTCTGTTTGTGTCATCCGATGCGGCAGCTGTAAACATGGTTTGTGTAAGTACAGAGTGTAAGTAGAGACTCTAGAGGTGACAACAGTTGTCGTCGTAGTGGTATCAACTTACAAAATGAGCCGCCCATTGGTTGAGGGGTCATCCTTGTGGACGTTCCTGGCTGGTCCCAGGACGCAGCTGTAAGCATGAATTGTGTAAATACAGAGTGTAAGTAGAGACTCTAGCGGTGACAACAGTTGTCATCGTAGTGGTATCAACTCACAAAATGAGCCGCCCACTGGTTGAGGGGTCATCCTTGTGGACGTTCCTGGCTGGTCCCAGGAGGCAGCTGTAAGCATGAATTGTAAATACAGAGGCTAGAGGCGTGAACATTTGCCATCACAGTGCAGTTAACTCACAAAATGGGCTGCCCACTGGTTCAGGGTCGCTGTCTATTGACGTTGCTGTGTTGTCCGAGGAGGCAGCTGTAAGCA